CATTTAACGCTGCAGAAAAAAAAAGCCATACCTACCACAAAGGGCATGAATACAGAGACAAGAGAAGGAATATGGTCTTATTTGCCATCTTTTGTAATCAATCTCTCCCACAGGTAATCTATTACCACCTGGTTTAGAAATTAAGCATTTCACTGTTGGGCATTGCCTAAAATCTCCATTACAATATGGTGTCTGGCTGATGTTTGAGGGGCATGTCTGTGGCTGCTGCGGTTAAGCTACGTAAGATCAGACCACCGGCAGGGATAGGTCCGCTTCGGTTCCTAACACGTGGACAGTGCGTGATCCTTATACTTTGCTTAAGACACCCCTGTGCGTGGTCCACCCATGCCACATGACCTTTTCTCTGATTGACTCCCCTACTGTGCATGTCTTTCATAAGCTTTATAAGCCTGTACACTTCCTCAATAAAGTAGTTCCTGCTTCGACAGAACTCACGGGTGCTTGCAGTGTGTTTGACCTGTCGACCTTACCTCTCCCGTTCGCCTTGTCAGTGAGTGCCTGTTCTGTCCCCTGCTGGTCAGGGGCCAGCCTCAGGCTTAACACCCCAACATTTCACTTATTCTCTGGGAAGAAAATCCTTACTCACCAACACCCACTCAACAAGTTTTATTGACCATTAGGGCCCAGGCAATGACAATACATCAGGACTACTTCCCATTCCATAGCAGATAGAAACCACCATTGACTATATGCTCATACCAATTTTAGAAACATTTACAAGTAGGCATTTGGCCTGGTGGTTAAGATGCACATTAAGACATCTGTGGGGGGCCGGCGCCTTGGCTCACTTGGTTAATCCTCCGCCTGTGGCGCCGGCATCACATATGGGTGCCAGGTACTAGTCCCGGTTGCTCCTCTTCCAGGACAGCTCTCTGCTGTGGCCCAGGAAGGCAGTGGAGGATGGCCTAAGTGCTTGGGCGCCTGCACCCGCATGGGAGACCAGGAGGAAGCACCTGGCTCTTGGCTTCGGATCGGCATGGTTCTGGCTGTGGCGGCCATTTGGGGAGTGAACCAATGGAAGGAAGACCTTTCTCTCTGTCTTTCTCTCACTGTCTAACTCTATCTGCCAAATAAAAAAAAAATTAAAAAAAAAAAAAAAAGACATCTGTGGGGCTGGTGCTGGGGTGTAGAGCGTAAGCTGCTGCCTGCAATGCCCGCATCTCATATGGGTGCCAGTTTGAAACCTGGCTGCTCCTCTTTCAATCCAGCTCTCTGCTATGGCCTGGGAAAGCAGTAGAAGATGTCCCTAGTGCTTGGGCCCCTGCACCCATGTGGGAGACCTGGAAGAAGCTCCTGGCTCCTGGCTTCAGATCAGCCCAACAATGGCCTTTGTGGCCATTTGGAAAGTGAACCAGAGGATGGGACTTCTCTCTCCCCCTTGCCTCTGCCTCTATATAACTCTGACTTTAAAATAAATAATCTTAAAAAGAAAAAAGAAGACATCTGTGTCCCACATCAAAGTGCCTGGGTTCCATAACTGGTTCCTATTCCTGACTCCAACTTCATACTAATGCAGATTCTGAAAGACAGCAGTAATGGCTCAAGCAATTAGGGTTCTGCCACCCATGTGGGAGACTGGTAGTGAGTTCTAGGCTTCTGGCTTCAACGTGGCACAGCCCCAGCTGTTGTAAGCCTTTGGGGAGAATGCACTGGTGCATGGAAGTTTGAGCGCTCTCTCTCTCCCCTCTGTGTCCCTCTGCTTCTCAAAAATAAGGGGAAAATTTTATATTTATCTTAAGAGATTTGTTTGAAGTCAGAGTTATATATATGTATATATGTATATGTATCTGTATATATATATATATATATAGAGAGAGAGAGAGAGAGAGAGAGAGAATATCTTCCAACCACTGGCTCACTCTCCAGATGGCTGCAACTGCCAGAGCTGGGCCAAGCCAAAGCCAGGAACCAGGAGCTTCAGCTGGGTCTCCCACATGGGTGGCAGGGACTCAAACATCTTCTGCTGCTTTATTCAGGCTGTTAGTAGGGAGCTGTATTAGAGTGGAACAGCTGGGACATGAACCAGCACTCATATGGGATGTTGGCATTGCAGCCAACAGCTTTATCCACTATGCCACAATGCCAGCCTCAGAGAAAAAAAAATTTTTAAAGAGGATCGTGGGCCAGCGCTGCAGCTCAATAGGCTAATCCTCCACCTGCGGCAGCAGCACACAGGGTTCTAGTCCTGGTCGGGGCGCCGGATTCTGTCCCGGTCGCTCCTCTTCCTGTCCAGCTCTCTGCTATGGCCAGGGAGTGCAGTGGAGGATGGCCCAAGTACTTGGCTTGGGCCCTGCACCCCATGGGAGACCAGGAGAAGCACCTGGCTCCTGGTTTCAGATCAGTGCGGTGCACCGGCCGCAGCGGCCATTGTGGGGTGAACCAATGGAAAAGGAACACCTTTCTCTCTGTCTCTCTCTCTCTCTCACTGTCCATTCTTCCTGTCAAAAAAAAAAAAAAAAAAAAGAGGATGGTGGTGTTTTTTTTCCTTTTTTTAATGAGTTAGTTGTTTCATTTGAAAGGCAGAGTTAGAGTTACATAGAGAGAAGGAGAGAGAGAGAGAGAGAGAGAGAGATATCTTCCATCTGCTGGTTTACTCCCCAAATGACCCAAGCTGGGCCAGGCCAAAGCCAGGAGCCAGGAGCTTCTTCCAGGTCTCCCACTTAGGCACAGAAGCCTAAGTACTTGGGTATTAGCAGACACATTAGCGGGGAGTTGGATTGGAAGTGGAGCAGCCAGGAATTGAACAAGCACCCATATGGGATACCAGCATTGCAAGCAGCTGCTTAACCTGCTACTCCACAGGGCTGGCCCTGGGGGTGGGTGTTTGATATAACAGTTAAGATATCCATATTCCATATCGGAGTGCCTGGGTTCAAGTTCCAGTTCCTTTCCTGATTCAAACATCCTGCAAACGCACATCCAAGGGAGGCAGCAGGTGATAACTCAATAGTTGGGCCCCTGCCAGCCAACTTTGGGACAACCAAATTGAGTTTCTGGCTCCAGGCTTTGACACTCCCCACAACTGCTGCAGGACTTTGGGAACTGAATCAATAGATGGAAGACATCATTATCTTTTTATCTTTATATCTATCTCTATTTTCAGATAAATAAAATTTTAAAAATACATAAAAATGGGGGGGAGAAGAGTGAAACTCAGAACTGATGAATATTAGAATACTGAGGCACAGAAAGGTTAAGTGACTATCCTCAAATCGCTTGGTGATCACTGGAACATTAATCAGAACCAGTATTCCTAGCTACTATTTTATTAATTGATTTTATATTTTATTTATTTGAGAGGCAGAGAGGCAGATACACAGAGAGGGAGAGAGGAGAGGAGAGAGGAGAGAGAGACAGACGGACACAGAGAGAAAACTCAGCTCCACTGTTCACTCCCCGAATGCCCACAACAGTCAGAGATGGGCTGGACTAAAGTCAGGGACCAGAAACCCAATCCAGGTCTCCTACATGAGTGGCAGGGACACAATCACTTGGGCCATCACCTACTGCCGTTCAGAGTATGCATTAGCAGGAAGCTGGAACAAGGAGCAAGAGCAAGGGTTTAGGCTCAAGCACTCTCTTATGGGGTGCAGGCATCCAAAGCGACATCTTAGTCACTTTCCAAAATGCCCAACCACTAACCACTATTTTAAAAACTATAACTTACTAAGAACTAGTCAACTTGCCAGGCATTTTACATACATTATCTCATTAATATTTAAAACAATCTTTGAAAACAATCTTTGGAGGTTGGTGCTACCATAATGCTGGTTTTACAAATGTGGAAAACTAAAGACAAGACTGGTTATCTTATTACAAACATCAGAGTCAGAAGTTCTACCAGCTCTGTTGAGTATCCACTCTATTCCACTACTCGATGCTGCCTGCTATTATACTGCAAGGAGTGAACTGATGTAAAAATAGCCTTTATGTAGGCCAGCACCACAACTCACTAAGCTAATCCTCCGCCTGCGGCGCTGGCACCCAGGGTTCTAGTCCTGGTTGGGGCGCCAGATTCTGTCCCAGTTGCTCCTCTTCCATCCAGCTCTCTGCTGTGACCCGGGAGTGCAGTGGAGGCTGGCCCAGGTCCTTTGGCCCTGCATCCGCATGGGAGACCAGGAGGAAGCACCTGGCTCCTGGCTTCGGATCGGTGCAGTGCACCGGCCGTAGCAGCCACTTGGGGGGTGAACCAACAGAAAAGGAAGACCTTTCTCTCTGTCTCTCTCTCACTGTCTAACTCTGCCTGTCAAAATAAATAAATAAATAACCTTTATGTAATACAAATATAAATGTTTAAGGGCCACTGTTGTGGCATAGCAGGTTAAGCCATGGTCTACAATGCCAATATCCCATATGGGTGCAGGTTTGAGTCTTGACTGCTCCATTTCCAGTCTAGTTTTCTGCTAATGCATGTGAAAGCAGCAGAAGATGGTCCAAGTACTTGGGTCCCTGCACCCACATGGGAGACCTAGATGAAGCTCCTGGCTTTCGACTTCTGCCTGACCCAGTCCTGTCTGTTGTAGCCATTTGGGGGTGAACCAGTGCATGAAAGCTCTCTCCCTTTCAAATAAATAAAAATAAACAAACAAGTATAAAAATGTAGAGTTTATTCATTGTTCCTCTTTCATTAGCATGTAGCATCCTTTAAATCTTTTCACAGAAGAAATTTATACTGTTATAGTATAAATATCCTTAAAAAACGCCAATGATATAAGTGTAGGAAATGTTAATTATGTATCAATGGAGAAAAAACAGCTTAGGAATGGATTCAACTTTTTAAGGATGAAGTAAATGATACAGTTGGCATTTTGAGTCAAGAAGAAAATCTATTATCTAAAACAAAGTATTGGGAAATTCACTGTTTGGAGAAAAACATTTAAATTAGTTCCTATATCATACTGTATAGCAAAATAAATGCCAAAGCACTAAATAACTGTGAAAAAAGATCCAGATTATGCTATTAAAAATAAGTTACATACCAAATTCTCCTTCGTCGGCAGAAAATGAGCTACTTGTTAGATGCGCTGAGGCCAAAACACTCATTAAAGTTCCAGGTGCTTCATGCCGCCACTGTTTTCTGTTTTCTGAAATGCCTTCAATCACAATAACATGGTCATCTAAAGAGGAAAATGGGTTATTGAAAATAAAAATGCTTCTTCGTTTTTTCAAAGATTTATTTATTTCGAGAGAGAGAGAGAGAGTTACAGAGAGAGGGAGAGACAGAGAGAAAAGTTCTTCCATCTGCTGGTTCACTCCCCAAATGGCCGCAACGGCTGGAGCTGGCCCAATCCAAAGCCAGGAGCTTCTTCCAGGTCTCCCACATAGGTGCAGGGGTCCAAGCACTTTGGTCATCTTCTACTGTTTTCCCAGGCCATAAGTAAAAAGGTGGGTTGGAAGAGGAGCAGCCGGAACACGAACCAGCACCTATATGGGATGCTGGCGCCACAGGTGGAGGCTTAGCTTACTATGCCACAGCACCAGCCTTCTTTTTTTTTTTTGGACAGGCAGAGTGGACAGTGAGAGAGAGAGAAAGGTCTTCCTTTTACCGTTGGTTCACCCCCACAATGGCTGCTGCGGCTGGCGCACCGTGCTGATCCGCAGTCAGGAGCCAGGTACTTCTCCAGGTCTCCCATGGGGTGCAGGGCCCAAGCACTTGGGCCATCCTCCACTGCACTCCCGGGCCATAGCAGAGAGCTGGCCTGGAAGAGGGGCAACCGGGACAGAATCCGGCGCCCTGACTGGGACTAGAACCCGGTGTGCCGGCGCCACAAGGTGGAGGATTAGCCTAGTGAGCCGCGGCGCCGGCCTGCACCAGCCTTCTTATGCTTCTTCATTTGAATTATTTTTCTAGGATTTATTTTTTTTATTTGGAAGTCAAAGTGACCTCCCATCCTCTGGTTCACTGCCCAAATGGCCGCAATGGCCAGGCAGAAGCCAGGCACCTGGAACTCCATCCACTTCTCCCATGTGGGTAGCAGGGGTCCAAGGGTTTGGGCCATCTTGCACTGCTCTCCCAGGTGCATTAGCAGGGAACTGGATCAGAAGCAGAGCAGCCGGGACTTGAACCAGTGCTCATGTGGGGTGCAGCATTGCAGAGCCTGGTGTGCCACAATGCCGGTCACTTCCTGTGAGTTTTTATAAAATCACAAAATGTTAGAATCTTGCAGCTAACCTCTGATTTTATTAGGAAAAAAAAAGAGATACAGTAAAGTTTAGTGTCTCACTGTCACATAGCCAAAGAGAAGAGTCATTTCTCATTTTCTAAAATGGCTTTTTTGGTGTGATAAAATTTCTATTCTATTTGCTTATTTTAAATTTACCCTCAATTGTCCTCTTGACTCATGAGTCAATTCGCACACTTAAAATTACTGATTTTGTGATCTACTTAAATATTTCAGGAACAGGCATTGTGGAGTAGTGGATAAAGCTGCTGCCTGTGATGCTGGTTTCCCATATGGGTGCTGGTTTGAGTTCCAGCTGCTCCACTTCCGATCCAGTTCCCTGCTAATAGCCTAGGAAAGAAGTGGAAGATGGTGCAAGTGCTTGGGCCCCTGCCACCCACATGGGAGACCAAGAAGAAACTCCTGGCTTCTGGTTCCTGGCCTTGGCCTGGCCCAGCCCCACCCCAGCAATTGTGACCATCTGGGGAGTGAACCAGCAGATGGAGGAGCACTCTCTCTCTCTCTCTCTTTCTCTCTGATTCTGACTCCCAAGTAAAATAAAATACATCTTTTAAACAAATTTCAACTTACAGCCCAGGTCTCCACTTTAGCCCTCCCCAGTGGCATGTGATGAAGAACACAGGAAGGACGTAAGTGATCAGCATCTTCGCCTCCTGTGCAGTAACAGCTGGAGGCAGCTGTGAGGCTCTCTGAAGGAGGGACTATGCTAGAGTTTCAAATGTACATGAGTGAATTCAGGTTAAAAAATTTTTATTTGCTGAACACTCCTAACTTTTAAATGGCATGCTGGCTTCAAAAGCAATTTTATGTGTATCTGCACACTATTCTCATAGGGATAGCTATTCTTTTAATTCCAATTTTACAGGTGAAAGAACGACCCTCCATGAAATTGCAACCAAACTGGAGGGCCCATCAGGTTCGCTGCTCTTCTGTGTGTGTTCTTCCTCACTTTGAGAAAAGTGGCACTCTGGATTTTTCCTCCTTTATGTTGTCTTGGCAGGGGTGGTCACTTGTCTTACATTAGCAGCTAAGTCTCTCTAGGGATAGAGAAAAAACCAAAACTGTGTGTTTGAAAGCAGTGGCTTAACCTGAGGGGCCGGTGCTGTGACGCAGTAGGCTAAGCCTCTGCCTGTGGCACCAGCATCCCATATGGGCGCTGGTTTGTGTCCTGGCTGTGCCTCTTCCAACCCAGCTCTCTGCTCATAGTCTGGGAAAGCACTGGAAGATGTCCAAGTACTTGTGTCCCTAACACACATGTGGGAGACCCAGCTGAGACTCTTGGTTCCTGGCTTCAGTTTGGCTCAGCTCCAGCCATTATGGCCATTTGGGGAGTGAACCAGTGGATGGAAGAATTTTCTGTCTCCTCCTCTTTCAGTAACTCTACCTCTCAAATAAATAAATAAAAATCTTTAAAAAGAAAAAAAAAAGAAAGGTGTTTGATATAAAATCTATAAGTCTTGTACTATGGTACGGGAGCTATCACATTAGGATGAGCAATAACAACACGGCCACCAGGACCCTGATCTTCCCTTGCTGAGAACTGGTGCTAACTGGTCACAGACTCACCATCACCAGCAGGCACTGTAGAGCAGGTGGAGGTGATGTCAACCGCTGCCATCATTTGCAACAGAGTCTGAGGTGCTCTGGCATCCCACTGCCTCCTGTTTTCAGCAGCAATGGCCTCCCGAGAGGAAAGCCCTGGGTATCAGAAAAGAACTTGTGAATTCAAAAGCAGCCAAAAGTATGACTAACGACACCAAACAGTTCTTAGGAACCTGGAGGCAGTCTATCAGCTGGTATTCAACACCACCCTCGTTCTAACACAGATCTTAGCTTATAAGATTGAAATTACGCATAGGCTTAAGGCTAACTTCACTGTTTTTAAAAGATTTATTTATTTATTCATTCATTCTTTCATCCACTCATTTATTTGAAAGGCAGAGTAACAGAGAAAGAGAGAGGGAGAAAGGGAGACATATCTTCCATTTGGTGGTTCACTTCCCAAATGCCCTCATCAGCAGAAGCTGGGTCAGGCTGAAGCCAGGAACTAGGAACTCCATCTGGGTCTCCCACGTGAGTGGCAGGGGCCCAAGTACCTGGGCCATCATGCACTGCCTTCCCAGGAGCATTAGCAGAAAGCTGGATGCGAAGCAGAGTAGCCAGAACTAAAACCAACACTGTGATATAGGCTGCGGACATCCAAGCAGTGGCTTAACCTGCCACACCGTAATCATTTTAAAGCAAGCACAGTATTTCTGTTTTAATTCTTTTGTGCTGGATTTTTAGATTGCTTATATCTTTCCTCTATTATAAGTACTATAATGAACACATTATAGCTAAATTTTTGTAGGCATTTGTGATTATTCACCCTAGATAAATTATTGAAAATGCTTCTAGGCCAGTGCTGCGGCTCACTAGGCTAATCCTCCATCTGTGGTGCCAGCACCCCAGGTTCTAGTCCCGGTTGGGGCGCCAGTTCTGTCCCAGTTGCTCCTCTTCCAGTCCAGCTCTCTGCTGTGGCCCGGGAAGGCAGCGGAGGATGGCCCAAGTGCTTGGGCTCTGCACCCACATGGGAGACCAGGAGGAAGCACCTGGCTCCTGGCTTTGGATCGGCATCGTTCCGGCCGTAGTGGCCATTTGGGGGGTGAACCAATGGAAGGAAGACCTCTCTCTCTGTCTCTCTCTCACTGTCTAACTCTGCCTGTCAAAAGGAAAGAAAAGAAAAGAAAAGAAAACACTTCTAAAGGTTAGTATCAAGTTGAATCCATTACTAATTTGCTCTGTGATTTTTTTCAATGTATTTTGAGTAGCTAGTTCTTTCCTGCTTTATAAAGGTTTTTTATATTTTCTTTCATATCATTTTCTAACCTATGACTTTTTTACATATAAACAATTTGTGTGTTTGAAATTTGTTTTGTTCTATCATATTATGAGGGTCTCATTTCACAATTATCCCCAATTGTTAACCAGCTGACCCAGCAGTATTTATCTGAATAATCCCTTCTTTCCCCACAGACTTAAAATGTCACTTTTAGCATCTGCTAAATTATTACTATTATTATCATTTAATTTCATTTGGGAGAGAAAGAACTTCCACCTGCTGGTTTACCCACCAAAACAAGCAAGGGTCAAGGTTGTGGCAGGCTGAAGTCAGGATCTGGGAACTCAGTTCAGGAGTTCCACGTGGACAACTGGGAACCAACTACCTGAGCCATCACCACTGGCTGCTGGTGTGTGTGTTAGCAGGAAGACGTAATAGGGAGACAGAGCCAGGAATTGAACCCAGGGACTCAGAGATAGGATGCAGGCACCACACCTGTGGCTTAACTGCTGTGCCAGGCGCTCACTCCACATGGCCACACCATGGGTTTGTTTCTAAGCTGTCTCTTGCTTTCAAAATACTTGAGAGGCAGAGTCACAGGGGTGGTAAAGGCAGGGAGAGAGGGCAGCACAGTGAGAGCTATCTTTCATTAGCTGGTTCACTCCCCAAATGCATGCAAAGCCAGGAGCCAGCAAATCCCTGTGAGTCTCTCACTTAGGTGGCAGGGACCCAAGTACTTGCACTGTTACCTGCTGCCTCCCTGGGTGTGCATCACAGGAAGTTGAATCAGAAGGAGAGGTGGGACTCAACACCTGGCTCTCCAATATACAGGCATGCCAATCAGCAGCTTAAACTTTTTGCATCACAATGACTGTCACTAAATTCATTTTCTCACTCATTTATTCAATCTTGTCCTCCTATCATATTGTTTGAATATAGTATAATTTTATAATAATTTTGATATTTGAAATGATAAGTGTCCTTCACTACACTTATTTTTTACAATTCTTGGCTAGTTCAGAAAGAAAATACAAGATTCTCCCCATACTAGGGAAAAAATCCAATTGTGATTTTTACTGAAATTGACATAAATTTGTGTATTTATTTGAAAAGAATATTTCTAATATATAGCACTGTTGTTTCCCTCCATTCATTCATGTGATCTTTAAATATCTCAGAAAGCTTTAATTTTCATCATATTCCCTGTACAATTCTTGTAAAGTTTAATCCAAAGTGAATCCACATTGTGGCACCATGGGTTAAGCCACCATATGCAACACCAGCCTCCCTTATAAGCACTCGTTCCAGTCCCATATGCTCTGCTTCTGATCCAGCTCCCTGTTAACACACCCTGGAAGGCAACGGGAGATGGATTAAGTACTTCAGGCCTAGCTACCCAGGTAGGAGACCTAGATTGAGTTCCAGGCTCCTGGCACAGATCTGGCCAGACCTGGCTTTTGTGGCCATTTCAGGAATGAACTAACAGATGGAATATCTCTGTATCTTTGTCTATGTGTCAAATACATTAAAATAAACAAAATAGTTATTTTATGAAAAGAGAGAAAAAGAGAGAAAGAGAGAAAGAAACAGAGAGAGAGAGAGAGAATCTTCCATCAACTGGTTACTCCCCAAGGGCTGCAACAGCCTTTGCCAAAGCCAGGAGCCAAGACTTTCATCTGGGTCTCCCAGTGTTTGTCTAAAGAGTGCTACGGCTTGGTCTTAAGCTCCGTTTCCTTCTCATTCTGGTCCTCTCTGCCTAGGCATTTTTGGTCATCAACAAGTTTTAAATACCGCATATATGCCAGGGACCTCCATACTATATCTTTAGCCATGATTTGCGTAGGCCCTCAGTCCCATATGGCTGGCACCTTCCAAACATCTCCAGCTAATGCTCATAAACATCTAAACCTCCATGTGTTCCGAATTTAGATCACAAAAAGATCTCTACTGACCTCTATCTACATGATACACATTTGGTTGGTGACAGCTTCATGAACGTGAATTAGAAAACTGGGGGAGGAGGCAGACATTTAGCTTAGTGGTTAAGATGTCAGTAGAGACACTTGCATCCATAGCAGAGTACCTGGGTTCCACACCTGCTCCACTCCTGACTCCAGCTTCTTGCTAAGGCAGATCCTGGGAGGCTGCAGTGATAACTCAAGTAGTGCAGTCCCTGCCACCACATGGGAGATCCCGATTGTGTTTCCAGGTCCTGGCTTTCGTCCTGGCCTAGGCCCTGCTATTGCAGGCGTTTGGGGAGTGAACCAATGGATGGGAGCTCTCCCTCTACCTGTCTCTCAACTAAATAAATACAATTTATTTTTTTAAAAAAGGAACAGGCCAGCACTGTGACATAGCGGGTAAAGCTGCTGCTGGCAGTGCCTGCATCCTATATGAGCACTGGTTCGAGTCCCAGCTGCTCCACTTTTGATCCAGCTCTCTGCTATGGCTTGGGAAAGCAGTGGAAAATAGCCCAAGTCCTTGGGCCCCTGAATCCACCTGGGAGACCTGGAAGAAGCTTCTGGCTGCTGGCTTCAGATTGGCACAGCTCCAGCCACTGCGGTCAATTGGAGTGAACCAGCAGATGGAAGACCTCCCTCTCTCTCTCTCTGCCTCTCCTTCTCTCTCTGTGTAACTCTGACTTTCAAATAAGTAAACAAATCTTAAAAAAAAAAAGGGAAAACTGGGCATATCCACAAGTCCCTTCTCTCCCTCTTTCTCATACTCATGTCTATTTTCACATTTTTCTGGCGTGTACACCTACTGTTTCCACCTGAACTATTCTACCACCAGTTTTGCTTCTCCAAGCCATCCTGCAATCTGTAGCCAGTATGTTCCTTCTCAGTCACAAATATGATTCAATTCCTACTCACTGACGCCATCATCAATATGGATAAAGCCCACACTCCAGGCATGCCCCATCATTGAGCAGTAGGGATCCCCCTGCCTCTCCAGTCAGCTCAAACCCCAACAGTGATGAGCATTTCAGGTTTGCAATACATTTTGTCCCTGTTTCCTTTGCTTGGACATTTCTGTGATAATGCAAGCAGTCCCCAGTTTTCATTCATCTTTGCACTTCTTATCACCAAGCACACTCTATGGCAACTAAGTTGCCACTGAATTGAATAAAGACATTTCCAGATGGAAATGAGGCAAAGGGTATAATTCATGAATTAATTATGGACAGGACTGAGAAGTTTGAGACATGATGAAGGAGATGGGAGGCCATCACATTGTACTGCTTCTGCACGCTCAGGGGAGCTATGAATTCTTTACTGACTGCTGAATCACATTAAACCACTCAATAGAAACAGCCATAGATCTATTCTTACGACTGTAGATTCGTTCAGACTGAAGAGTTACTGTAATGACCAGTCACCAGGGGACATCAAAGTAATTGGTAGAGATGATTCTCAACTTTAGCTGAGAAAACTGTCTTGATTGTTGAAGATATAATCGACACTGTCAAGGGTGGGTATTTGGCACTGTGGTTAAGACATTGCTTGGAACACCTACATCCCATACTAGAGTGCCTCGTTTGAGTCCTGGCTGGTCCACTTTCGTTCTAGCATCCTACTGAAGTGCACCCTGAGAGGCTGCAGGAGGTGGCTCCAGTACTTGGGTCCCTACCATCTTGTGGGAGATCCTCATGGAGTTCCTGGAATCTGGTTCTTGGCTTTGGATTGGCCCAGGCCTGCCTGTTGTGGGCATTTGAGAGTGAGCCAGTGGACAGAGGATCTCTTTTTGTCTCCATGTCACTCGGTCTTTCAAATAAACAAATTTTAGTATATGCGCTCCCAAAGAGCACATCAAATAAACAAAATGAAAAAAAAATTTTAATGACCCTGGCAAAACAACAGCAAGTTTGCTTTCCTTGGTCAGCTTGTGTAGTCAGCTTGCTGGTGAATGACCCCTCAAAGTTTTGGATATAAGACAGGTGGTTTTGGATTTGAGAATCCCGGACAAGTTTTGACAGGTCACACCCTTCACTATAATGAACACTTCAGGGATGTGAATCATGTCTGTGTCACTCATGAAACTGGAAAAGAAAACACAGAGCCCAAACGAGGTGCCAAAGTGAGTCTGGAAACACTGGGAGTCCCATCTGACGTCATCAGCAGGAGGACAACACATGCTGTGTTCCATGCCCATCAGCTTCAAAGAGATTCTGGGTGAACCCTCTAAGCATTTGATCTGTTTCACATTTCAGAATGTCAGTCACGGGTTCCTGCACTGTTTGCACTGTGAGCCTTTCAGGGTCCATCCCTGAAAAGGGACACCTAAGGGTGTGTTGCTGTTTAACTTGTGAATAAAATAAAATATCTTAAAATATACCATCATGCGATGAAAACAGTGAAATGTATTTGTAGGAAACATTTAAAGAGAAGCTGCATTCGTTTTTTAAAATTTTTTAAAAAAATATTTCTTTGTTTATTTAAAAGGCAGAGAGAGAGAGAGAGAGAGAGAGAGAGAGAGAGATCTTCCATCTGCTGGTTCACTCCCCAGTTGGCTGCTGGGCCAATCTGAAGCCAGGAGCCAGGAGCTTCTTCTGGATCTGCAGGAGCCATCCTCCTGAAGTGGAGCAGCCGGGACTCAATCAGCACCCATATGCGATGCTGACAGGGGCTGGCCCCTTTGATTGGCATTTTTAAATGTTAAATATTCAGGAAAGAACAGAGGTGACTGAATATTGTTAATTAAACTGTTGCACGTTTAGGAAAGTAATAAGCAGTCAATTTTGCATCAGTGACAGAATCTAAGAGGCTTCACTGTGCTGAATAAACCTATGTCCTAGAATGACTTTGACAGCATTTCAATAGTGTTGACTGTATTTTCCTGGTCGTTCAGATTATTTCTAGTAAACCTTTGTCAAGAGTCTCTTTTAAATAAATTTAATAAATTAAAAAATTTTAAAAACCTGAACAGGGTAGTAATATGACAAATGATTTTGGCAACCATTTAGAGAATGAAGGCGAGGAGAAGCCAAAAGGAGAGTTAGGGAATAGCACTTACTAGGCATCTAATTCAGGTCAGGGGGTCTATCAAATTTCACTTCAACCCTCACAGAAATCCTGTGGAGTTTCTATTGTCACTGCTACTCACTCACTCCCTGCTCCTGAGACCGAGGTTCACTGCGCTGAAGAAATACGGTCACAGGATGAAATTCCGAGTCCTGTCTGTCTCCAGGGCCCAGGCTCTTCTGGGCCAGCCACAGCGCTAAGAGATGACAGCACCCTGAACTAGCGGCAGTAGGAGGAAGGCTTCAGAGATCGTGGGTAGAAACCGCCCTGGGTGTGCACCCTAGTGATGGCCTTGACCAAACCTTTTGGTCCCTGGGAAGGGGGAGCTAGGAAGGTCGACTTCACACATGCTGAATTTCAGATGCCCATGGCACCCATCTGTGGTGCTTCCCAGCAGAAGAACAATCAGGGAGGAGCAGCTCGGAGGCGCGGGAGGCGTGGGAGGGAGACAGTGAAACTTCGAAGGCTTGGAGAGGAGAAGCAGACAGTCTCGGGGCAGAAGGGGAGCCACGTGGGATGAAAGTGTAGAGCCTTTGAGAAGGGTCGCTGTTAAGGCATTTCCTTCTCAGCTGAAGCTTTTGAGAGACACGTACCTGCTTCTGCGCAGCAGAGATTTTCAAATGCTCTGTCTGTGTGCTCTTCATGCTCCTTTACCGGCAAATATTCCTTAAACTTCATGCCGTCCTCAAAGGTCAAAGTTTCATTTAAATCCACTGCCTAAAGCAATTCCAGGGTTTCATGAGAAATAAGCCATATTTTAGGGGGGGATGTTTAAAAATATTTTATGTCCCTAGTAATACTAATTAGCATGATATAAATATTCAACATGTTTCTTTCAAAAAACCATTTTTTTAAAAACTTATCTTTTATCCCATTTCCACAAACTTAAAAAAATTTTATTTCTTTAATTTATTTGAAAGTCAGGGGCCAGCACTGTAGTGCAGTGGGTAAAGCCTCTGGCTGCAGTGCAGGCGTCTCATATGGGTGCAGGTTTGAGTCCCACCCAGCTGCCACACTTTTTTTTTTCAAGATTTTATTTATTTATTTAAGAGGTAGAATTACAGATAGTGAGAGGGAGAGACAGAGAGAGAGGTCTTCCATCTGCTGGTTCACTCCCCAAATGGCCACAAACGGCTGGAGCTGAGCCAATCCAAAGAGCCAGAAGCCAGGAGCTTCTTCCAGGTCTCCCACACGAGTGCAGGGGCCCAAGGACTTGGGCCATCTTCTACTGCTTTCCCAGGCCGTACCAGTGAGCTGGATGGGAAGAGGAACATCCAGGACTAGAACCGGTGCCCTTATGGGATGCCAGTGCCGCAGGCAGAGGATTAACCTACTGCGCTGCAGTGCTGGCCCCTGCTCCACTTCTGATCCAGCTCTCTGCTACGGCCTGAGAAAGCAGTGGAAGACGGCCCTGGCTTCAGATGAAAGCAGCTCTGCCTGCCTCTCTCTCTCTCTCCCTGCCTCTCTATAACTCTGCTTTTCAAACAAATAAATAAATCTTTGAAGAAAGAAAGGCAGAGAGAGAGAGAGAGAGAGAGAGAGAGAGAGAGAGAAAGCTCTCATTCACTGGTTCACTCACTAAATGCCTGCGACAGCCAGGACTGAGTCGCAAGGAAGCCTGGAGCCCAGAACTCAATCCAGGTCTTTCATGTGGGTGGCAGGAATCCATCTACTTGAGCCTTCACCTGCTGCCTCTCAGAGTGCACTTAGCAGGAAGCTGGAATGGAGAGTGAAGCTAGGACTCAAACCCTGGCCCTCTGATATGGGATGCAGACATCCCAAGTGGCAACTTAACTACTGTGGGAAATACTTGCCCCAATATATTTTTATTAAACAGGTAAATCTATAGTTTTAAAACTGGGTCTGTGCTGAAATGAGAGAGACATGGGATGTTTTCTTCTTGTCAACAATGATAAGCATGGTCTTAGGGTCTTAATTTTATCCAGTCTTTCTGCCTTCAATATTATTCAACTTAAGTTCTTAACTCTCAAGATTTTCTCATCCACACCCGGCTTTAAGTAAGCAATGTTCTTAACCAGGTCCCTAAAACTGCTCTTGATACTCTCTGTAATCAATACTAACACGGGAATTATTTTCCAAGCCTATCAGTGCATAGAATAAGAAAGGATAAACATCCTGGAAATTAGAGTATTTTAGATTCCATTATTTTATTCCAGCAGGCCAACTTTACAGAAGCTCTGTGGATGTGCCCAGAGACACGTCCCCAGCCCTGATCTGCTCTGATCCCACAGTTTGTATAGCTCACTGAGAGGCCGAAGTGTTGATCAGCAGTGAGTACTAACTATCACAACTCTCCTGGAGTCTTTATGTAGCAAAATGCTTGTAAAAATAAATGATAACATAAAATGGTTTTAAGCGAGGGCAGTGGGCATTTTGCCAAGTGTTGAAAAACCAATAGCCAGTGCCTGGTGCTCAGGCTTCTGACTCCAGCCTTCTGATAATGCAGACCCCGTATCAGTGATGGCTCAAGTAACTGGGTTCTTGCCACGCACATAGGAAACCCTCATTGAGTTCCCAGCTCTTGATTTTGGACCAGTACTGGCTATTGTGGTCATCTAGGGAGTGAACCACTGGATGGAACTCTGTCTCTCTTTCCTTCTCTTTGTTTCTCAAATAAATAAATAGGCTTCTTTAAAATTTTAAGCTAATCAAGAACAAAAAAAGAAAAAATTATCAAGTGTGATTTTTCATACTTTTTAAAAAGGTGAATACAGAACAGATAAAATAGGAAAAATAAGTTAGTTTTGATATTTTGTTAGAGGATCTGATAAAGAATGGGATAAAATATGTCAAGATCAAGTATTACTATATTCATGTATTTATTGCAGTGGCAAGGACAGGCCAGATGCAAAACTGAGATTTACTTAGACTTGTACAGAGTTACCAATAACTAATGCAGATGTAAAATAAATGTGCATCTTGTTAGGATACCTGCTCATTTTTTTTTACGTTAGTATATTAGATGTTGACTGTGTATCATCTTCTATTTTAATTTGGCTATGACAAAAAGTTGCTATTATGAGGGAAATAGTTCCTTAATAAAAGAAAAAAATTTAAATGGGATAATCCACATAAAGAAATAACCTTATTTTTAAAAAGAGGTTAAGAGGATAAAAAAGCATTTGGAAGATGTATCTGAACACACCAGACTCTACAGCCTGTGTAACAATTTCATGAAACATGCATATTAAGATATACTCATTTTCTTTTTTTTCTTTCTTAGATTTATTTTTATTTATTTGAAAGAAAGAGTTACAGAGAGAGAGGAAGAGACAGAGAGAGATCTTCCATCTGTTGGTTCACTGCCCTAATGGCCACAACAGTGGAGGCTGTGCCAAGCCAAAGCCAGGAGCCCCAAGCTCCTTCCATGTCTCCCATGTGGGTGGCAGGTGCAAAGTAGTTGGGCTATCTTCCACTGCTTTCTCAGGCACAGGGAGCTGGATCAGAAGTGGAGCAGCAGGGGCTCAAACCAGTACCCATATGGGATGCCAGCAGTGGGTTAACCTAGTATGCCACAACGCTGGCCCCAGATATACTCATTTTCTCACACTAAAAGAAATGCATATTTAATGGCCTACCTCTTCCTCCTGAGGGACTGTTTCATCAGAAACACATTTGTCTAAATTAATTTCAAATTTTACTGCTCTCTAGAAGAAAGCAAGAAAAAGCAATTCAGTAAAACCTCAAAATTACAACTTCCTAAGTCAATTTCATTTGACATTACACATACTTTAAATCAACAACCTAACATTGCAAAACAGGGCCATTCCATAAAATACAAGGGGAGAAAGTCATGGAGGTAATCCAGAGTGCAAGGTGGGAAGCGCCAGCCAACTTTCACACATGGAACTGGAAGTTCAGATTACCTTAGCTTTATATTTCTGTTCTGGAATGTTAGTTTCCTTCATGTTCTGAAGCTTATCTTGTTTGAAGTCTCTTGCCATATCCTGAAAGTTTAGAGCAAAACATAATTCTATCATTTGATCAAATAAGTAGATTTTCAAAACTGTTGAATTCACAATACTCTGTATCTCCAAGATTTGATTTCTGTTGAATCTGATGATTGATTTGAAATAGGAACATGACTTTGTAAAGGAAAGTAATAACAACTTCACAAAAAGATGGACACAGTATCCATGAACTTGTATTAATACATTTAACACCAGCATTTCTTTTTTGAATTTTTTAAACTTTTATTTAATAAATAAAAATTTCAAAGGTACAACTTTTGGATTATAGCAGCTTTTCCCCCCATAACCTCTCTCCAACCCACAACCATCCCATCTTCCACTCCCTCTCCCATCCCATTCTTCATCAAGATTCATTTTCAATTATCTTTATATACAGAAGATCAACAGTATATACTAAGTAAAGATTTCAACAGTTTGCACTCACACAGATACACAAAGTATAAAGCACTGTTTGAGTACTAGTTTTACCATTAATTTGCGTAGTACAACACATTAAGGACAGAGATCCTACATGGGGAGTAAGTGCACAGTGACTCCCGTTGTTAACAATTGACACTCTTATTTATGATGTCAGTAATCACCAGAGGCTCTTGTCATGAGCTGCCAAGGTTATGGAAGCTTCTTGAGTTCACAAACTCCGACCTTATTTAGACAAGGCCATAATCAAAGTGGAAGTTCTCTCCTCCCTTCAGAGAAAGGTACCTCCTTCTTTGATGGCCCGTTCTTTCCGCTGGGATCTCACTCACAGAGATCTTTCATTTAGGTCTTTTTTTTTTTTTTTTTTTTTTTTTTTTTTTTTTTTTTTTGCCACAGTGTCTTGGCTTTCCATGCCTGAGAAACTCTCATGGGCTTTTTAGCCAGATCTGAATGCCTTAAGGGCTGATTCTGAGGCCAGAGTGCTGTTTAGGGTATCTGCCATTCTATGAGTCTGCTGTGTATCCCACTTCCCATGTTGGCTCATTCTCTCCATTTTAATTCTATCAGTTATTATTAGCAGATACTAGTCTTGTTTATGTGATCCCTTTAACACTTAATCCTATCTTTATGATCAATTATGAACTTAAACTAACCACTTTGACTAGTGAGATGGCATTGGTACATGCCACCTTAATGGGATTGATTTGGAATCCCCTGGCACGTTTCTAGCTCTACCATTAGGGGTAAGTCCGAGTGAACATGTGCCGAACTGTACATTTCCTCCATTTCTCTTATTCCCACTCTTATATTTAACAGGGATCACTTTTCAGTTAAATTTAAACACCTAAGAATAATTGTAACACCGGCATTTCAATGAGGAAAATTCTACCATGTGATGATGCTGTCATTCTAGTCTAGTGCAACCAACCCAATCTGACTCAAGAACATAACAGGATCCTTCCCTTAAGAGGCTTATGATTATTTTAAAGATGTATTTTATTTATTTTGAAGGGCAGAGTTACAAAAAGAAAGAAGGAGAGGGAGAGAGGGAGAGAGGGGGAGAGAGAGAGAGAGAGAGAGAGAGAGAGAGAGAGAGGTCTTCCATCCCCTAGCTCACTCCCCAAATGGCAGCAATGGCAGGGGCTGAGCCAGGCCAAAGTCAGTAACAGGAGCTTCCTCTGGACCTCCCATCAGGGTACAGGAATGCAAACACTTGGGCCATCCTCCACTGCTTTCCATAGCACATTAGCAGAGAGCTGGATTGGAAGTGGAGCAGGTGGGATTCAAACTGATGGTCACATGAGATACTGGCATTGCAAGTGGCAGCTTTACCTGCTATGCCATAGCAATGGCCTTGAGGCTTATTATTATAATTAGGAAAACAAGAAAAGTGCACTCTGAAAACTGACAGGCAATTCCAAGGAGGAGGAGAGGAATGTAAAAGTGGATGACAAGAATTTCATAGGAACAGCTGGTGGGTGAACTCTAAGCTGAGGTTTCTAGGGTTCCATCCTGGCCCTCTGCTCCTTGCTTCCCTGCGGGTTACATGCCGTGTTTATGTGATGGCCCTTCACCTTTCCTCTCTGAGTTTCAGACTCACACATCCAACTGCCTAGCTCATGTCATCTTCTCCCTAGCATTCATTCCACAAAATCATACTGAGAACCCCTGGGGACCACTCACCTACACAATGGGTCAGCACAGTAGATGGGACCAGGAGGCCCCTGCTGACAGAGAGCTTACATTTTCCAGGTAGGATAGGCAGTAAGCAAGTTCACAAATTAATGACAAAATTTCAGAAAGTGTTATGTGCTACAAATAAAATAAAATAGGGTAAGAGGATGGGAAATGAGTAGGGGGTAATAGTAACACAGGAAAAGCTTAATGGTAAAGCATTTTCTATGTGGCGTCCCCACAAGCAGTGGGGACTATAAACTTTTTTTTAAAAGACTTATTTATTTTGAAAGTCAGAGTTACACAGAGAGAGGAGAGGCAGAGAGAGAGAGAGGTCTTCCATTCGATGGTTCACCCCGCAACTGGCTGCATTGGCCAGAGCTGTGCCTATCCGAAGCCAGGAGCCAGGAGCTTCCTCCTGGTCTCCCACATGGGTGGAGGGGCCCAGGGACTTGGGCCATCTTCTACTGCATTCCTAGGCCATAGCAGAGAGCTGGATAGGAAGTGGAGAAGCCAGGGCTCAAACTGGCACCCATATGGGATGCCAGCGCTTCAGGCCAGGGCGTTAACCCACTGTGCCATAGCGCCAGCCCCCCCCCACCCAATAAATTTTTAAAGGGGTAGAGTCCCTGGAGTGTGGGTGAGACATGAGACAGACACCAGCTTAGAGTTCCTTTGGCAGCCAAGATCCAGATCCGAAAGCTGCAGAGCCATCCAGACTATGGTTGCAATTCCCACCCACTGGGAGAATGGAAGCTGGAGGCCAGTTTGAGTCTTGCCTGCTACCATGTCTAACCCAGCTCCCTAAAGGCTTGGGAAAAGCAGTGGAGGATAGGCCAGTGTCCGGGCCCTGGCCATTGGGAGGCCTGGAAGAAGTTCCTGGCTCCTGGCTTCAGCCTAGCCTAGCTCTAGCCATTGCTGCTATTTGGGGAGTGAAACAGCAAATAGAAGAGGTCTCTCTCTTTGTCTCTCCCTCTGTAAATTGGATTTTCAAAATAAATTTAAAAATCCTTAAAAAGAGAATAAGGGGCGGGGCAGCGCCATGGCTTAGCCAGTTAAAGCCACGGCCTGAAGCACCAACATCCTATATAGGTGCCAGTTTGAGTCCCAGCTGCTCCACTTCCAAGCCAACTCCCTGCTAATGCACCCAGAAAAGCAGGGGAGGGTGGCCCAAGTGGGCCCCTGCATCCATGTAGGAGACCCAGATGAAGCTCCTGGCTCCTGGCTTCGGCTTGGCCCAGCCCTAACCATTGCAGTCATTTGGGGAGTAAATCAGCAGATGGAAGACCTCTCTGCCTCCTCTCTCTCTCACTCACTCTCTAACTCTGCCTTTCAAATGAATAAACAACTTCTTTTTTTTTTTTTAAATAGACTAATACAGTGCCTTTAAAGAAATAACAAATGGGGTTTTAAAAAGTAATTTGAGGGGATGAAACCTTTGGGTGTGTTTATGGGAATTAGGAGAGATCATGCTGGAATGTTCTGTTGGGAACAATTCACAAAGTCTGCCAGGCTAAGGAAAACAGCCTCTGGCCTGTTGCGGGAATCACTGCTGATGGGCAAGCAGAGTAATGTGTTCCAACTGGCACTTTGGGAAGTTAATTCTCAGATAAATGACTTGAAAAATCCATTTCACTATGCAGCTGCATATTCTCTCCAAATAAGACATTAACTCAAAAAGCATATAAATTAGGTGCTAACAATTTCCTTTACAAATGTTTCCAAAGAAATCTTCGGTTTTTGTTTAAGGTGTAGATGCTTTATTATCTATTTTTTTAAAAAAATATTTATTTATTTGAAAGGCAGAGGCAGAGAGAGAGAGAGAGAGAGAGAGAGAGAGAGTCTTCCATCTGCTGGTTCACTCCCCAAATGGCCGCCATGGCTGGAGCGCTGCTGGTTGGAAGTCAGGAAGCTGGAGCTTCTTTTGGGTCTTCCACGTGGGCGCAGGGGTCCCAGAAGTTGGGCCATCTGCTGCTGCTTTCCCAGACCACAGGAGAGAGCTGGATCAGAAGTGGAGCAGCTGGGACTCTAGCCCTATTTTCTATTTTTGTAGTGAAAGTGCTATAAGCGGGGCCAGCACCATGGCACAGGTTAATCCTCCACCTGCGGCGCCAGCATCCCATATTGATGCCAGTTCTAGTCCTGATTGCTCCTCTTCCAATCCAGCTCTCTGCTGTGCCCTAGGAAAGCAGCAGAAGATGGCCCAAATGCTTGGGCCCCTGCACCCATGTGGGAGACCAGGAAGAAGCTTCTGGCTCCTGGCTTAGGATCTGCGTAGCTCTGGCCGTTGTGGCCATTTGGGGAGTGAACCAATGGAAGGAAGACCTTTCTCTCTGTTTCTCCCTCTCACTTTCTGTAACTCTACCTGTTAAAAAAAAAGTGCTATAAGCACCTTACAAAAATTTTAGAGGGGGGCTGGCGCTGTGGCATAGTGGGTAAAGCTGCCACCTGCAGTACCTGCATCCCATATGGGCACATGTTTGGGACCTGGTTAGTCCACTTCCAATCCAGGTTTTTGCTATAGCCTGGGAAAGCAGTAGAAGACGGCTAAAGTCCTTGGGCCCCTGCACCCACATGGGAGACCCAGAAGAAGCTCCTGGCTCCTGGCTTCGGAGCCCAGCTCTGGCCATTGTGGCCATTTGGGGAGTGAACCAGCGGATAGAATCTCAATCTCTCAATCTCTCTCTCTCTCTCTCTCTCTCTCTCTCTCCCCCTCTCTGCCTTTCAGATGAATAAATAAATCTTAAAATAAAACTTTTAGAAAGTAGAGAAGAAAACATCACCCCTATTCACATCAATGTATATAGACAGTCCTCGGTATCACTGGGTTGTAGGTTCTAGGACCCTCCCAACGGCTACCAAAACATGAGGATGCTCAAGTCCCTTATATTAAATGGTATAGTATTTGCACATAACCTGCATAATCCTCCTAGACTTTTTATAATACCAAAGACAGTGTGAATGCTATGTTATTCATTATTATACTGTATTGTTTAGAGAATAGTGGGAAAAAATGTGTATACATGTTCAGTGCAGGTGCAATGTTTTCTTAGATCTGTGTTCAGATCTTATTATGATTCTTATTCTTAAACTGTGTTCAGTGGAATCTGAGGCTCTGTGGATACAGAGGGCCGACGGTACCACTAACTAACCACTGTTGGCATTTGGGGTGTTTTCTTTCAGTTACTCCTGGTGGGGCTGGTGTTGTGGCGTAGTGGGCAAAGCTGCTGCTTGTGATGCAAGCATCGTGGATGATCTACTTCTGATCCAGCTTCCTGCTAATGTCCTGGGAAAAACAGTGGGAGATGGCTCAAGTGTTTGGGTCCCTGCCACCCACATGAGAGACCTGATGAAGCTCTTGGCTCCTGGTTTTGGCCTGGCACAGCCAAGGCTGTCATGGCCATCTGTGGAGTCAACCAGCAGATGGAAGATCTCACTCTCTCTTTCTCTCTCTCTGTAACTCTTTCACAAACATAAATAAATCTTTAAAAAGTTCTCCTTGTGCATAAAACTTACAAAATTTTATTTACCAAATTTCTGACAAACTCTTTGAGAGAAGGCACCATAATGACTTGTTTAGAGATGCTTGTTTTTTTTTTTTTTTTTTTTTTTTTTTTGTAAACACAGGTACTGGATTTCATTTGTTGCTATAAGCAGGTTAAAAATGTGAAAGAGATATTTATAAAATCTGAGCTCTCTTTTCATGGCATTTGTAATAATTTGAGGATTTTTCAATTTCTAGTTGAATCCAGATCCAGCTCTAATAGTAAACCTAATTTAAAATATAAAGATTTGTTTTAATTATAATGATGAGCAAACTGATAATTATTCGCACTATAAGCCAAATCACTGAGGATCTTCTTATTAGGCAAAAGCATCAAAAAAAACTCTTTGAAAAGTAAAAATTCAATCACAGGAGCATTGGTTACGAGGTCATTTCACAGGTTGAGGAATTCTCAGAATTAGCTGAAATCCAGATTTCTTTAGCATTAAGAGTACATAATACTTTCTCAGATGGAAAAAAGCTGTTTGAGATCCACTGGGTCAACTCTGCCTGGTCCTCTAATCCCACTAAAAGTGTAAGATGGAAACAGAAGAGAAGCTGACCATCAGGTTGCAGACCTGTGTGTCTGAGACACTGATTTGGGCAATCCAGAACGTGTGTGGGCTAAAGACAGCAGCAGTTCTCAAACTCAACACCCACCAAATCACTCACAAGTTTCTACAAGCAGGATGCCTGGGCCCTACCTACACCATTTGGGCTGCAGCCTAAGCATCTGAGTGTTTTAATCGTGCCCCCTATGAGTCTATAACATAGTGAGAGGTAAGAATCACTTGGCCAGAGAAAACCCATTGGGAGACACACACAGGTGTGTGACAACAGCCATCACTACCTGCACAGGTGCTTCTTCCCCAGGTGCGTCTTGGTGGACAGGCAGGTTACTCTTCTTCACCAGATAGGTTCCATAACTGATTTTTGAGTTGTCCTTTAATACAAATTAAACACAGTCAACAAGACCGGATCTGCATGAGTTTTGGTGGCTACTTTCTGTACCCCAGGCAAGGGTTGAATGGGGCTGGTGAGGAAAAGCGTTCCTCCTGCTGCAGATGGGCCAGCCATAGAACAGCTGACTAGAACCCTCTTTATGGGTCCTCTTCCCCATGGCTGCCTCAGTGTCCCCCAAATGCCCTTTTCATAGTCTCTCTAGAAACGTGCACTATCACTTCCTGGGCTCACACTTCCCACTGCACACCTGCCTTAAACACGAGGCAGGTGATGGCACGAGGCTCTCCACCATGAACTGGGTCTGCTTGGGAAAGCGTCACATGCAAGCTGCCCCTCCTAGCACATCCAGTCAGTGGGAACCTTTGCATGGCTTGTTCAGTCTGTCCCTCCTCCGCTTGGCTGCTCTGAATTCTGAGACTCAGTTTAAGTGCCCTTCTTCTTGCATAAAAATCTACAGCTTGTTCCTCCTACTTATCTTTGTGCCTCTGTACCCCATGGCTTAACTACATTCAGTCCTAGTGCACTGAAGTTGCATACGTGTGTCTTGGCTTCCCAACTATGTATGAGCAGCACTGCATCTGCTATAAAGAGTAGTAGTTTTCCAGGTTGAAATACTCAGTGTGCCCAGTAATATCTCAGGACTCATCTAGCTTCTCTGTTGTGGGGATAAATGAGAGGAAGTATGTGAAAGCTCTGGTTTGGAGCCTGGATCAGAGAATTTAATTGTATTATAGGCTCGTATTACTTATATTAATCATCCATACCCACTCAGGGGTGAAGGCAGGGGGGATGAGATCAATTCTAGCAGTGTGGTAGATCCACTCAATGGTTGCAAAGCCAAGTGCGTTGTGAGATGGGAAATGGCTGTTTTGGGGCACACAGGCCTCTCATTGGAAGAGCATCTAGGGTGCTAAGGGTATTACCAGTGTTTAAATATCCAGGCTACCCAGGCATTTGGTACAGTGGTTAAGACATACTTGGGAACCCACATTCCATACTGTAGTGCCTGAGTTCGAGTCCCAGCTCTGCTTCAGATTCCAGCTTCCCGCTGATATGTACCCTGTGAGGCAGCAGGGGATGCCTCCAGTAGGTGAGTCTCTGCCACCCACCTGGGAGACCTGGATTGAATTTCTGGCTCCTGGCTTTTGCAGGTGTTTCTGGAGAGTAAACAAGTTGATGGAGGATGTGTTTGTGTTTGTGTTTGTGTGCGTGTGTGTGTCTGCCTTTCAAATAAATAAAAGAAAATTTAAATTTTCACACAACATGGTCTCCATGTCTCATCTGGAGCTGTACTGAAGTAGTAGTCACACACTCTGCTAAGCTCTACAGACCCCTGTGAGAGACGGAAAGAGGGATTTCCAACGTGGCACCTTTAAGGGGTCCTGAGAATCATCTCAACTGCACTCAGATTTTGCCTCAGACAGACGTTAGGCCCTTAAATCTGCAGAGGGTTAAATTCAATGATGCAAACCTTTTATTCTCCTTGAGGGCATGAACTTCAGCTCATTTTGGATTGTCTGCATCTCATTCAGTTCTGGTCTAAAGTAAGAGTCATTGGCTGATCATGAGGAAAACCATCAGCACGTGTTTTTGATCACTGCCATTCCTAACTGAGGATACCAGATATCCTCACCATCTGGTGTGGTCTCTGGTAAACCACAACAGAGCAAAGCTGTAATCAGGTCTGACAGTGTTCCTTTGAAAAAACCCAGCTGACAAGATTATCCTTTTCTCTCTCAGATCACTACATTTAATACCAGCTCCCTTGGTCAACTCAATCAGTAGTACAGGGTTTCCTGCAGGAGAATGACTTTACCTCTGGGTTTCTCCCCATCTTCTCTCTAATTTCCTTCATGTCATTGTGGTACTGCTGGCGTATTTCCTCCAACTGCTTCCAATATTCCTGGAAAGCAGACCCAATCCAAAAATCTCTGATTGATGTGCACAACAATTTCATAAAAATAATCTCTATGCAGTCTATAATTTTTAAAAAATGCAAATACAAAGCAAGAACTGGAAAACTCTGTTATCCTGAAGATGACAATGTGCCTTATGACTTGGCTGTGGCACCTCACACCCCTTGAGGGATGCAGTGGTTTGAGATTCAGAGCTCATATTCATATCTAACCCCCATGTGTTGGTGATGTACAGTCACTTTACACACCCCACTTTTATATGTAATCCCTTGGATGGGTTGAATTGTCCCCTCCCCCAAATAGATGTTGAATTTCTAACCTCCAGTGCCTGAGAAAGTGGCCATATTGGGAAACACAGACATGGGAGACGTAATTGGTAAAGATGACGTCATGCTGGAGCAGAGTGGATCTTTAGTTCAGTATGACTGGTGGCCTAAGAATACAGCCATGTGAAGACAGGGACACAAGGAGAATGCCAAGTGACAATGCAGGTTGGAGTTCCACAGCTGTAAACCAAGGGATGCCAAAGATTGCCCCAATAAACCACCAGAGGCTAGGAAGGGGCAAGGAAGGAATCTCTCCTGCAGGTTTCAGAGGGAGGATGACCCAGCTGACACTTTGGGGACTTCCAGGCTCCAGAACTGTGACAGAGTATATTTCTGTTGCTTTAAGTCACCCATTTTGTTGGGGCTATTTTACAGCAGCCCTGGGAAATGAATATAAACCCCAAATATGTTCATGATGGGCATTTACTTTACCCATCCAAAGTGAACAGTCTTAGGAACTTAGCTGTGCTGCATTTTCAGAGAAGGTAGAACACGTAACTCTGTGTCCCCCAAAACACTTCGTATGGTACTTTATGTGTCAAGTCCAGCAAGTAAGAGTGGGCTTCAAAAAGTTCATGGAAAAATGTGCATTTCTCATGAACTGTTTGAATCTCCTTTGCACTTGTGCAACTGTAGCCTCTCAGGTGCACTGTAGGAGACCACCCTGGCATACATAGCATAGAAGAAAACCACACAGCACAGCAGCAGCCCTGGAAGTAGACTGTTTCTAACCTGTTCCTTTATTTCATTTTTCCTAAATTGCAGCTCCTGGAATCCAGGCTCTTTTCCATTACTTCTTAGCTTTTGTCTCTGGTTGTAATTTGGCTCTGCTGAAGATGGACGAAGACCCTATTTATTAAATGAAACAAAAACTTTTTTTAGTTATTTGAGAGAGAAAGAGACAGGCACATACACACATACACAAACATAGAGAAAGCTCCCATCTGCTGGTTCACTTCCCAAATGTCTACAATGGCCAGGATGGAGCTGCACTGAAGCCTGGAGCCAGGATTTCAATCTAGGTCTTCCATGAGGGTGGCAGGAGCTCATGTACTGAGCCATCACCTACTGCTTCCCAGGGTGCATATTAGCAGGAAACTGGAATTAGCAGAAAAATTAGGACTAGAAGCCAAGCACTTCAATTTGGTGTTAGTGATACCAGGGTGGTACCCTAACTTTTACACCTAATGCCTGATCTCCCAGTTACTTGAGCCATCACTGCTGCGTCCTGTGGTCTATATTAGCAGGAATCTGGAGTCATGAGCCAGGGCTAAGCATCAAACCCAGGTACTCAATATGGATGTCTTAACCCGGGCTTTAACCATTAGGCTAAATGCCTGCCCCTAAATAAAATAATCTATAAAGTATAGTTGCATTTTGGAAATATCTTCAAATTTAATTTTGGCTCTCAAAATTTGGTAGTTTTTTTTTTTTTATCACAAGCAGAAGTATGAAACATTGAACAAATTTTCAAGTTATTTAAATCAGCTGGTTTAAGTATTCCAAGGAATTGCCATTTTATGCTACCATTTGAAACACCTAGATTCATTTTCTTAGTTCATTGTAATTGTGAAATGAAAGCTCTGTGAAGGGTTTGCAACCCCAGAGCATGAGATTAGGTAAGGGAATAAGTTGTAAGTTTTGAGGATGTCAAACTAAGACTGACACAAAGAAGCTGCATATCTAGCCTCTGAGGCCCCAGAATTACAACACAAAGAGTAAAGGTTAGTTTTGAATTCAAATAAAGTACCACAATCCTTTAAAAAACGTGTTGAAGTGCCTTTAATAAGCTAGAATCACAGCACTGCAGCACCAAAAGGGACTCAGCTTCTCCAAGACTCACATCCTAGAAAAGGAAATTGAAGCTCAGAGAGACTGGATGGACTGCCCAAGCTCACTGTGCAAGTGACAGAGCCAGGAAGAGACCAGCCTTCCCAGACTCTGATGGAAGCCTGTTCCTACTACTCTTCTTTATGGTGGTCAGAGTGGTCTTGACCTTCTGCTGGAATGGACTTTGACTTAACAATCTCTGAATACCTGTGAACAGAGACACTATTAGAAAATTCCCGATTGCCTCTTGTATTTGGTATTTTACTTACCAATTGCTTTTCCACTTTCAACTTATATTCTTGAGCCTCAAATTTCCTCCGAAGATACTCAGCAGGCCTTAGGAAATAAAAGTATCCGGCTTGAGTAGAAATATTAAACAGTCTAAGGCACCAATCTGATGAGTGGATTTTCAGCTTTGAAGTAAGGCTCACAACTCACATGTGGTTTGACATTCCAAGTTCAAGAATATCTCAGAGTTAGAGAATGTTTACAAGGGGAAAGAAAATCTTTGGAATCAAGAGGAAAAAATGATAGAGAAGATAGCAACTGGGGATTCAGGAGACAATTAAATAGAAAAATATTGTGCTCCAATAGTTGTTTTTCAGAGCAGGGCTGAGTTGTTTCATAGTCTATATATGATGGGGGAGTGAAACTCACCCATGCCCAAATCTTCTCATGCACTGTGTAGGTTTCTCATCTAGCAGACTTCTACTCCTGACTTCACAAGGGTTTCTTGTCTGTTTGCTACACTACACTCTGAGCTCCTCAACAGCAGGATGGTGTCCCACCCCATCATCTCCACTCATCCTGCTAGCACTGAACTGCTTAATGAATACAGAAGTGATGCTTCAGTTGTCTCTCAAAATGTTCAAAGTGTTTTGCCAGCACCATATGGCCAACGCATTTTCAGGCTTATATCTACATTTTATAGATCCATCTTCTTTTTTGCAGAATTTCCTGCTAAGAATTTCTATAACTACTGGTTGCATTTTGATCATAGTATGGACTATGTCTTTTGGAATTCCAGTAATATTATGGCTCCAAAGACAGAATTAACATTTAAGAGATAATTCCTTCAGGAACATCATGTTCAGCACCAATTTACAAAGGGTCAAGTTAATAATCAATCATTCAGAAGAATGACAAAATAAGCTAGCTAAGCTCTCTGAATCATCCTTAGTTCACAGAGCATTTCATAGGGGCTGATACAAGGATTTGCAGAGATTAGGGCCCTGTAGGTGCCTGACCAGTGTCCGACACACATAAAGGCCTGAATTAAATGAGGGCTAGATTGTAACTCTCAACTCTCTCAAAACCCTAACTGGCCACAGTCATAACACCTTCATAAGAGTCTCCCAGGGGCTGTTCAAGAAACATTTCTCTCTCTGCATCTGCAACCCAACCCCTCTCAAACCCTGTACAAATTCTTCTTCTTCTATTCCATGGCCTGGAACCAGGTTCCAGTAGAGAGACAGCTGGGGGAAGGGGTGGGTCAAAAAGGAAGGGGTTACCAGCCATCAGATGGGCATTCTGGGATACACTAGAGAGAGCTGTGATGGGCAGTGGCACACAAGGAAGAGAAGGAACTTCACTGTTTCCATAAGAGAGAAGAAATTATACATGAAGAAATAATGGGTAGTATCTAGACAAATAGTGGAAGACGGCTGAGAAAAGAGAAAGGGCGTTCTGAGGCTGCTCCTTTTTATATGTAATGCATGTCCCTCATTAATCAAGTCCTACAATGGTATCGCAATTTCAACTAATGGAACACAAAATTCTTATGATCATGGGATAATTCAAAGTATATTATGAAGATGAGTAAAACCATAAAATCACTGAATATCTTCAAACATAAAACATCTATTTTTCTCATCACACATTTCTGAGGAAATCATTCAGTTATTGCTCTTATCTGATTTTCACTAGCTATTTATGAGGTCACCACCATAAACTCTGGTATTTTTCATAGCTCATTCAAAATTTCAGCAATAACCATAGTCGTCAAAGTCACCAAGTTCCCAACTGAACAACAACAAAAAATATGTGAAGAAAAAACATTTCAAAAAGAGAAAAAAACCCACCACTCACGGGGGCCAGCGCCGTGGCACACTAGGTTAATCCTCCGCCTGTGGCACCAAATCTTGTATGGGTACCAGTTCTAGTCGCTGTTGCTCCTCTTCCAGCCCAGCTCTCTGCTGTGGCCTGGAAAGCACTGGAGGATAGCCCAAGAGATTGGGCCCCTGAACCTGCCTGGGAGACTGGGAGGAAGCACCTGGCTCCTGGCTTCGGATCGGCACAACTCTGGCTGTTGCGGCCAATTGGGGAGTGAACCAATGGAGGGAAGAACTTTCTCTCTCTCTGTCACTGTCTGTAACTCTGCCTGTCAAATAAATAAATAAATAAATCTAAAAAAAAAAAAACCCACCACTCAGCAGTTGGTTTTCAGGCCTACAATAGGTATCATATTATTCTGGACATAGGAACACTGACATTGATGTGAAAAAAAATTGAAAATGTTGTAGTTCTGCAGAAATTTGTAGAACCATTTAAGTGTATTATTTTCTAATACATCCATCTTTTTAAAATCTCTAAACTATAAAAGGTGAATGAAATCTATTTCACTTTTCAAAATGTCTCAAGTGATCATTTTATTTTTATAATTCAATTATTAAGGATTCTTGTTGATAACCTTGGAAAATGCAATACATACTACTATTTTTATCACCCCCTCAAAAAGCAGTATTAGGAAGAAGACAAATATTTAAAAATTCAAAATATGGACTTTGCCTCTGGTTAACTGGCTCCATGGGTAAGAAGATATGCTCTACCAGACTGGAGATGAGAGGGAGTCGAGAGAACCGTGAAGCGTTTACAATGAAGACTCTGGACCTTCTTGACTCTTTTGTTTTAGGAGAATTTGGGAAGATTTGGGAATGAAGAATGTTGACTTATATTTTCTGAAGGCCAGAGCGTAGGTCATGACATTACCATTGGCCAGGTGATGGATGCTGCCTTTCTTCCTGATCCCAATTCTCTTCAACGGTGGCCTCTCTCTGAGGAGCGCAGTGATGACCTGGTTCATGGGCTCTCCTCCTCAACAAGTCAAGTTGTGCATAATAATAGTCATAATGTCCACACATTGCAGCAAGTCCGGGCCTTTCTATCATTTTTGTCTGAGGGATTTAAAAAAGGAATATTTTTATTTATTTATTTATTTTTAAATAATTAATTAGTTCAATAGGCAGGGAGACACAGAGACAAAGACTGTAAGAATTCCCAGTCACTGGTTATCTCCCCAGATGTCTACAATGGCTAGGGTTAGGCTGAGGCTAAAAGTCAGGGCCAGGAACTCAGTTTAGATCTCTTACGTGGAAACAAGGGACACAATTACTTGAGTCACCCCCCTCTGCCTCCCAGGGTCTGTATTAGCAGAAAGCTGAGTCATCAGCTGGAAGCAGTTCTCAAACGTGGACACTCACATGTGGGATGGGGGCATCTTAATGGACTTCTTAACCACCAGGCCAAATGCCTGTCCCAAAATGGAAGATTTTAAAAATTCACAATATGGAGCCGGCACTGTAGCACAGCAAGTAAAGCAGCCACCTGCAGTGCCAGCACCCGCTATGGGTGCTGGTTCTAGTCCTGACTGCTCTACTTCTGATCCAGCTGTCTGCTATGGCCTGGGAAAGCAGTAGAAGATAGCCCAAGTCCTTGGACCCCTGCACCTGTGTAGGAGACCCAGAAAAAGCTCCTGGCTCCTGGCTTTGGATCAGTGCAGCTCCGGCTGGTGTGGCCATCTGGGGAGTGAACCAGCGGATGGAAGACCTCTCTCTCCCTCTCTCTCTCTCTCGCTCTCTGCCTCTCCTCCTCTCTCTGTGTAACTCTGACTTTCAAATAAATAAATAAATAAATTTAATAAATAAATATTAAAAAAAAATTCACAATACAAGGGCGGGTGCTGTGGCCTAGTGGGTTAAGCCGCCACCTGCGGTGCCAGCATTCCATATGGGTGTTGGTTGAGTTCTTGCTCCTCCACTTCTAATCCAGTTCTCCACTAGTGTGCCTCAGAAAGCAGTGGAGTATGACACAAGTGCTTGGGCCCTTGCACCCACATGGGAGACCCAGAGGAAGCTCCTGGCTCTGGATTGGTCTAGCTCCAGTCTTTGTGGCCATTTGGGGAGTGAACTAGCAAATGGAAGATCTCTCTGTGCCACTCTCTCTCAGTCTGTAACTCTGCCTTTCAAATAAACAATTTTTTTAAAAAAGAATAATACAAATCCATGGTAACTGACAATTTCATAGCAACTATAGTTATCCCAAGAAACTGAAGATGCATTTTTACCATTTTCACTTTAAATTTGTTTTCAGAGTAAAATAATCCTAGAGTCACCAAATCCCAGAGTTGAACAAGAGCTTAAAGTCCAAATCTGGAGCTGGTGCTGTGGTGTAGCGGGTAAAGCCGCTGCCTGCAGTGCCAGCATCCCATATGAGTGCTGGTTCAAATCCTGGCTGCTCCACTTCCAATCCAGCTCTCTGCTATGGCCTGGGAAAGCAGCAGAAGATGGCCCAAGTTCTTGGGCCCCTACACCTGCATGGGAGACCAGGAAGAAGCTCCTGGCTCCTGGCTTTGGATCAGTGCAGCTCTGGTATTGTAGCCAATTAGGGAGTGAACCAGTGATGGAAGACCAACCTCTCTCTCTCTGCCTCTGCCTCTCCTTCTCTCTCTGTGTAACTCCAACTTTCAAATAAATAAATAAATAAATCTTTAAAAAATATATAATCTAAATACTATAGTATAGTATTCTATAATTTTTCTAAGTATAGATACAAATCAAGTATACTTCATGGCTAGAGTGAAAAAATTGTAGCTTTTGAATAGCTAACCTGACATCTGAATCTAAACTCAGAATTATTATTTTCTATTTTCATAAACACTTTAATGCACTTTATGGGAGAATAAATGCTACTGCACAACTCAAAAATTTGGTGCAACAATTTTAGTTTCTGAGAAAATGACTAAATGCAAAATGGCACCGTGACATTAAGAAAGAAGATGCTGAGTCATTCCTTCTTCCCAGGAAAACAAGGGAAGGCCATATTATAGCTGCAGTGAGCATATTACCATCCCAGGTCACTCCTCATCACCCTTCCCAGTATGGAAATTGAGTATGCAAATGAAAACATTCTCGTCATTCTCATCTAAAATTGACCCAAGAGGCTATGGGGAGAACATGCTCAGGTCACAGATGATTGTTCAGGGAACTGCCCTGCTAGGCCAATTCAAAGAAACAGGCTGCCTTATATTTCAGACTTTTTTTTCATCTTAGCAACTGTTAAGGGAATTGACAACTATGACCTTAAGACTAGCTTTATGAAGTAACCGCCACTGCTCACCAGTCAGAGTTTGCCAGCTCCCTATGCACTGTAAGTGCCAATGAACTTTCTTTCACAATAGTTTATATAGATATCTCCGTCCTAATAAAGTTCCCAACCTTTCTTGTGTTCTCCAGACACAACACAGTAGCCTGTGTACATGTGTCCTGAATTGCAATTGGGAATTCTTCATTCCCAATTAAAAATTATTTTATTGGAGATTCTTCTCTATATTTTTGTTTGACCTTGACACCAACTAGAATAGAATGAGGAGATCCAGAAACACATGATTGCCTTAGAGCTAAGTAGAGACCACTGAGCTAGAAGATAAGAATCAGACCAAACTAAGATACAGAAGCCAGCCAAGATATTGGTGCTGAAAAGCAAAATAGGATCAATTTAATATTAAATATGACCACTATGCCCATTTAGCAGTTGATAATAAAAGAGAAAAAAATAAGATCAGTGGGGCAGATGTTTGGTGCAGTGGTTAAGATGCTGTTTTGGAACAACTGCATCCATATTAATGTGTTTGGGTTCAAGTCCCAGCCCTGGCTCTTCTGGTTTCAGTTATCTGCTAATGCATATTCTGGGAGGCAGTAGATGATGGCTTAAGGGTTTGAGTCCCTGCCACCCCCATGGAAGATTTTGATTGACTTTCTGGCTCCTGGGTTCAACCTGGCCCAGCTCTGGCTGTTGGGAGCATTTAAAGAATGAACCACTGGATGGGAGCTCTCCCTCTTTCTGTCTCTGTCTCTCTGCCTTTCAAATAAAATGAAAATAAATAAATAAGAGAATCAAACCATTGTAAAAATCTAGGAACTGGAGTTGAGAACATGAATAACCAAATGATTAAACATGAAATGCCCTCACTGTACCCTTAGAAGTAAGTCTGTAGGAATGTATGCAGAACTATGCAGCTTTACAGTTACAGACTTCATAGACTTCATAATTACTACTTTAGGAACATGGTGATTCTTCCCACCATGCCCTCCCTCCCACACACACTCCCAACCCCTCTTCCTCCTCCCTCTCTTATTCCCATTTTTATTTTTTACTGAGATCTATTTTCAATTGACTTTAAACACATATATTTAACTCTATGTTAAGTAAGGAGTTCAACCAATAGTATTTAAAAAACCAAACTGTTCCTCAGCAGTCAAGACAAAGGCTGTTCAACTCTTTGCTTCTCAAACTGGCAATTTCACTTCTACAGATTGCCTTTTAGATGCTCTGTTAGTTATCACAGGTCAGGGACAGCATGTCATATTTGTCCCTTTGGGATTAACTTATTTCACTAAGTATGATGTTTTCCAGATTCATCCATTTTGTTGTAAATGACTGGATTTCATTTTTTTAAACCACTGTGTAATATTCCATAGTATATATATCCCATAATTTCTTTATCCAGTCTTCAGTTGACAGGCATTTGGGTTGAATCCATGTCTTAGCTATTGTGAATTGAGATGCAATAAACATGGGGATGTAGACCTGAAATTCCCTTAAGCTGGGTGGTAAAAATATCGTCTTTATTTTATTTTATTTTTTTGACAGGCAGAGTTAGACAGTGAGAGAGAGAGACGAGAAAAAGGACTTCTTTCGGTTGGTTCACCCCCCAAATGGCTGCCACAGCCGGCGCACTGTGCCGATCCAAAGCCAGGAGCCAGATGCTTCTTCCTGGTCTCCCATGCGGGTGCAGGGCCCAAGCACTTGGGCCATCCTCCACTGCCTTCCCGGGCCACAGCAGAGAGCTGGACTGGAAGAGGAGCAACCAGGACAGAATCCGGCACCCCAACCGGGACTAGAACCTGGGGTGCCGGCACCGCAGGCGGAGGATTAGCCTAATGAGCCGCAGCGCCAGCCCAAAAATACCATCTTTTTTTTTTTTTTTTTTTTTTTTTGACAGGCAGAGTGGACAGTGAGAGAGACAGAGAGAAAGGTCTTCCTTTTTGCCGTTGGTTCACCCTCCAATGGCCGCCGCGGCCGGTGTACTGAGGCCGGCTCATCGCGCTGATCTGAAGCCAGGAGCCAGGTGCTTCTCCTGGTCTCCCATGGGGTGCAGGGCCCAAGCACTTGGGCCATCCTCCACTGCACTCCGGGGCCATAGCAGAGAGCTGGCCTGGAAGAGGGGCAACCGGGACAGAATCCGGCGCCCCGACTGGGACTAGAACCTGGTGTACCGGCGCCGCAAGGCAGAGGATTAGCCTATTGAGCCATGGTGCCGGCCACCAAAAGTATCATCTTAAGTGTTAAAGTGATCATATGGTTAGGAATAAGAGTCTGGTAATAATAATAATCATAGATAGAATTAAAAAGAAGTGAATGCTCTGGCATGGGAAGCAATCCACACAGCAGACTCATAATATGACAATTGCTTTAAATAACACTGTGACCTCAGAATCAGCCCTTAAGGCATTCTGGTCTGGCTGTGGATTCAAAAGGCTTCCATAGCCTAGGCAGCTCTTGTCAAGAGTCTCGGGTGATAATTGACGTCATACATATAAGAGTGTTAAATTAACAACAGGAGTCATTGTGCACTAACTTCCCATGCAGGACCTTTGTCCTCAAAGAGTTGTATTATAACTATTTCTAAGTGTTCCCAAAAGACATATCATTCTTGGATGCTTTGTTAAAGTTAATTAAGTTTTTAGAAAAAGAAGTGAAATTAAATTCAAGATGCAATGACTTTGAACAACCCTTGTCTCAACTGTTGAGGAACAGTATTTTTTTTTTTTTCACCATGCAAATTGTTGAACACTTTACTTAGTATAGAGGTGGTCTTCTGTGTATAAAGTTAATCGAAAATGAATCTTAGTGGAGAATGGGACTGGGAATGGGAGAGGGAGGAGGGGTAGGAGAGCAGGCATGGAGGGAAGAATCACTATATTCCTAAAGTTGTACTTATGAAATGCATGAAGTCTGGATTCTTTAAATAAAAGGTTTATTTGGGGGAATATAAATAAAAGAATAAATAAATAAAAATAAAATAAAATAGCTCTGGTAAAAAAAATGCCCTCACTGTAAAGGAATAACATGCTATACCCTTTGTTTTTTAAGATTTTTTTTTTTTAATTTCAAAGGCAGAGTGACAGAGAGAGAGGGAGAGACAGAGAGATCCACGGGTTCACTCCCTAAATGGCTATAACAGCAGGTTAGGCCAGGCCAAAACCAGAAGCCAGAACTCCATCCAAGTTTCCCATGTAGATGGCAGGGACTCAAATACTTGAGCCACAACCTTTTGCCTCCCAGGTGCATTTGCAGGGAGCTTGACTGGAAGCAGAGTAGCTAGGAATAGAACTGGCACTCTAACATGGGATGCAAGTGTCCCAAACAGAGGCTTAACCCATTGCACTATAACACTCTTCTTTAATTTTTTTAATGCTATGTGATTCATATTTTATTTTTAGATCTATTTATTTATTTATTTGAAAAGCAGAGTTAGAGAGAGAGAGAGAAAGGCTGAGACAGAGAGAGATCTTCCACCTGCTGTTTCACTCCACAAATGTCTGCAACAGCAGGGGTTGGGGCAGGCCAAAGCCAGCAGCCAGGAGCTTCACCCAGGTCTCCCATGTGGGTGTGGGGGCCCAAGCACCTGGGCCATCTTCTGTTGCTTTCCTAAGTAGGAAAAGCAGGGAGCTGGATATGATTCATATCATGTTACATCATGGATATGATTCATATCTTTGTTACAATAAGCCATATGGAATTGTAGATATATGATCATATAAAATGGCATTTTCTGTTTAAATGTTAAATATATAGATTTGATTTAATAGTCTAAATAAAAATTATACGTACATCTTTACTTCTTTGAGAGTGAAAAGTAGTTTTCTTCATTTTATAATTTCATTGTATAAAGTCCAGAAGTAATTACTAATTACTTAACTGAAAATTGGTTAGAAATAAAAGTATTGGGAGGAAATAAATAGATTTTTTAGGATTTTCTCTAATCCTGAACAGTAAGAAGAACATCTGAAGTGGTTCCTATGTGGACCCATTTATTTCATTGCTGTTGGAAGGATTAGAAAAAATGTCAACTTATTCCACAGTTCTCCTAACTTAATTTACTTTTGCTCTCCCACATGTCTAATACACAGTATTCTGAATCACAATGCACTTTTTAAAATTCCTTAAAGTTAAAATTTTATTAAACAAAGGTTAATTTATTAATTGGTCAATAATTTAACCAATAGTTAAAATCTGTTTAGGGGTTGGCGCTATGGTATAGCAGATAAAGCCCCCACCTGCGATGCTGGCATCCCATGTGGGTGCTGGTTTGAGCCCCAGCTGCTTCATTTCCAATCCAGCTCCCTACTAATGTTCCTGGGAAAGCAGCAGAAGGTAGCCCGGTTCTCTGTGCCCCTGCACCCATGTTGGAGATCAGGAAGAAGCTCCTGGCTCCTGGCTTCAGCCTGGCCCAGCCCTGACTGTTGCAACCATCTGGGGAGTGAACTGGTGGATGCAAGACCTCTCTCTGTAACTCTGCCTTTCAAAAAAATAAAGTAAATCTGTTTATAAACTAACACATTTTTTAAAATGTCTTTTAAGTAAACATTTAGTAAATGTACTTCCAAATTGCCCTCTAATTACACTATGTGCCTTTAGAAATACAATTTGCCAACTAAAAGGCAATAACCATTTTATCATTTATATAACAGGAGTAATTCATTAGCATGAAGATTAAACACGCTGCTGAAGTGGGTTCAAGTAACGAAGCATAAAGAACCCTTAGGTGAAGATCAGTTATTATATAATAAAAGTGTCTCCTTTATATATGTATATATATGTATGCATGTTAGAATTAAAATATGAAGTAAAGAGTGTTTTCTGTGGCTAAGTTACTCACTTTTATAGAAAATCCCTACTTTTTCAAAGAAGTTAGAAGAATTTCAGTTATAAAAGGAAAATGAAAATCATTGTATACTTGTAACAAATCATAGCATTTAGGGACCAGCATCACGGCACAGCAGTTTAAGCCACCACTTGCAATGCCAGTGTCATATATGGGCACCAATTTGAGTCCTGGCTGTTCCTATTCTGATTCAGCTCTCTGCTAATGCTCCTAGGAAAGCAGCAGAAGATGGCGCAATTGCTTGGGGCCCAGCTACCCACGTGAGAGACCTGGATAAAGTTCTAGGCTCCTCCTGGCTTCGGTCTGGCTCAAACCCAGCCACTGCAGCCCTCTGAGGAGTACCTAGTGGATGTAAGGTCTCTCCCTCTCTCTGTAACTCTGCCTTTCAAACAAATAAACAAATCTTTATTTTAAAAATGTAGCATTAAAAAAAAGGAGTTAGAGCTGTGGTATAGCAGGTTAAGGCATTGCCTGCAACCCAGCGACCCATATGATTGCTGGTTCAAGTCTCAGCTGCTCCACTTTCCAACCAGCTCCCTGCTAATGCTCCATAGAAGGCAGCAGAGGATGGCCCAAGTGCTTGGATCCCTGCCACCCTCATGAGAGAGCCAGATGGTGTTCTAGGCTCCTGGCTTCAACCTGGCCCAGCCCTGGATATTGTGGCCATTTGGGTGAACCAGCAAATGAAAGATCTCTCTGTTCTCTCTGTAACTCTGCTTTCCAAATAAACAAAATCTTATTTAAAAATTAAAAAAAAAAAAAAAAAAAAAAGGAGCCGGCACTCTGGTACAGCAGCTTAGAGCCACAGCCTGCAGCGCAGGCATCCCATTTGGGCGCTGGTTCGAGTCCCAGCTGCTCTGCTTCTGATCTGGCTCTCTGCTATGGCCTGGGAAAGCAGTGTGTGATTGTCCATGTCTTTGGGCCCCTGCACCCACGTGGGAGACCTGGAGGAGGCTCCTGCCTCCTGGTTTCGAATCAGCTCAGCTCTAGCTGTTGCGATCATTTGGGGATTGAACCAGTGGGTGGAGGACCTCTCTCTGGCTCTACCTCTCTCTGTAACTATGACTTTCAAATAAATAAAATACATCTTTTAAAACATTTTTTTAAAAACACATATAACTAGAAGTTGTCCCATGAAGTACCCCTGCAGTACACACTACAGAAGGATTTTATAATAAGTACAAAACTACTGGGTTCCAAATTAATTAGACTGTACCACGTGAAGACTTGCAGATAGGTCTATCAGGTCACACCAAAGGTTAAGAATCAGAAGGAGGATTTAGTACCACTTACGGACATGGGCTCCGGGGCTCCAGCTGGGGGTCTCCATTCATTTCTGTATAATATGTCCTTCTTTTTCTCTGGTCCTGATAGCCTTGATCTTGGTGGACACTTTACCTGGAATCTCACTTTCCGTATTTTAAAATCTTATTTAAGCAAAACAGAATACCATCATTTAAAAGCATTTCTATACCTTTAACATTGACACTTGACATAAACTAGATCTGATACCACAGTTAAGTTTATTTTAGTTGGAGATATTTTATACACAGTGAGAAAAGTACTGATGAAAAACTTCTATGTATTTTCTTTGGAGAAAACAATAATTCCTGAGCTCCTTTACACAGCTCTAGTAACATATCATACTATTTTTAAAAAACTAGGGGGTCAGGCACTTGGTCTAGCAGCTAAGATGTGGGTTAGGATGGCTGCATCTTATATAGTGGTGCCTAGATTCAATACCAGCTTCCGGCTCCTGATCCAGTTTCTGCTAATGTGTACCTTGGGAGGCAGCTGTAGTAGCTCAAGTAATTGAATTCCTGCTAAACACATGGGAGACCTGGATTGAGTTCCTGGCTATGGGCTTTGGTCCTAGCCCAACCCTGGCTGTTGTAGGCATTTGGGGAGCCAACCAGAGGATGGGAGTTCTCTCTGTCTCTCCCACTCTCCCTATATATGTCTCTCAAATAAATAAATGTTTTTAAATTAGGAATTAATTTTAACATCTACAGAAAAAATATGCATGGGATAATGGCAAAAGTAATTAAATGTAGTAATCAGAGCTTGGGCTTTTGAGCCACACCATTTATATCACATTGTTGGTTGCAATTTACGGGTAGGCTTTTTAAAAATTTTTTTATAGCTTTTATTTATTTTTAATTTTTTAATTTAGTTACTTAAATTTTATTTTAAAGACAAAAAGAAAGGCTGGTGTTGTGGCAGAGTGGGTAAATCTGCTACCTGTGACACTGGCATCCCATATGGGCACCAGTTTGAGTACTGGCTGCTCCACTTCCAATCCAGCTCCCTGCTAATTCACCTGGGAAAGCAGCAGAATATGGCCCAAGCGCTTGGGCTCCTGCACCCACATGGGAGACCTGTATGGAGTTCCTGGCTCCTGGTTTCAGTCTGGTCTAGCTCTGACCTTTGCAGCCATTTGGGGAGTGAAATGGCAGATGGAAGACCTCTCTCTGTGTCTCACTCTCTCTTTCTGTAATTCTGCCTTTCAAATAAATAAAATAAATCTTTTTTTTAAAAAATTCAAAGAGATATGGAGAACCAGAGAGGTTTTCCATCTGTTGGTTCACCCCCTAAAATGCCCACAACATGGGCCAGGCCAAAGCCCTGAGTCTGAAACTCTATCTGGGTCTCCTATATGGGTGGCAGGGACCCAAGTACTTTAGCCATCAACTGCTACCTCCCAGGGTGCACATTGGCAGGAAGCTGGAATCAGGGTTGAAGCTGGGACTTAAACCCAAGCACTCTGATAAGGAATGCTGCCATCCTGAACAGTGTCTTAACTGCTGCACCAGATGTCTGCCCTCATGAATAGATTTTCTAATATGTTTGTCTTTATCTCAAAAATTTGTTTTCCTTTCTTTCCTATATTAGAAATATGGACAATACATTTTCTCTCATCCTCTACCTTCCAAACATTCTCAGTCTAGGCAGATATATAATAATGTCATATCAAATTAAACAGGGCAGGCTGGCGCTGCGGCTCACTGGGCTAATCCTCCGCCTTGCGGCGCCGGCACACCGGGTTCTAGTCCCAGTCGGGGCGCCGGATTCTGTCCCGGTTGCCCCTCTTCCAGGCCAGCTCTCTGCTGTGGCCAGGGAGTGCAGTGGAGGATGGCCCAAGTGCTTGGGCCCTGCACCCCATGGGAGACCAGGAAAAGCACCTGGCTCCTGCCATCAGATCAGCGCGGTGCGCCGGCCACAGCGGCCATTGGAGGGTGAACCAACGGCAAAGGAAGACCTTTCTCTCTGTCTCTCTCTCACTGTCCACTCTGTTAAAAAAAAAAAAAAAAAAAAAAAAAAAAAAAAAAAAAAGGTCAAATTAAGCAGGGCAAAGAGGCCCATTCATTTTCCCATTGTAGCTTTCCTTGACTTTAGTTAATCCAACACAGTGGATAGTATTTTCCCACCATAGATGTTATGGAGAGATTCTCTACTTCTGATCCTTTAAGCCCAGACACGCAGTTACGGTTCAATCTTCCACTCTTACTTCCACAGCATCAATGGAATTGGTAGCTTTCTCTTCCTTAATGCCTTCTCCTCTGTACACACACAGCAACCATCACTTCAGCAGCTCCTTGACATTATGACCAAAGTTGTTTTGCCTACTTAGCATTATCATACAGGATCACTTGCTGTCTTCGTGGGGTGGTCCTATGGTAATTGTTTTCTGTCACTGATAAGTTTCAAGATGCTAACTTCAACTCCCATGGGCATTTGCAAAAGAATTCATAATCACTAGTCTATCCTCCGTATTTCAGAAAAATAAGCTTCCTTTCATCATCCCATGTCTGTCTGCAAACCTTCTCCCACTCCATCCTCTCCACACAAAAAGCCTGGATTCAACCTCTTTAAGTATCTCCACTAACATGACCTCTGCTTCATCAAGTTTCCCAACTAATGAAAAGGAGCTGGCTCCTCTGGGTTCTACCTGAGCTAGACACATAAGGACAACTTTCTGGCACCCCCCACCTGTTGCCACTTGACAAGACGATTCTCCTGCTTATACTGCTCATATATATATATATATATATATTTTTTTTTAATGTTCGTGTTCAACATATTTGGTGGAATTCCTTCACCAATGCTGCCAGCCTTATACTTTGCTGTGTGAGACATGCATAATAAACACTTTTTGACTGCATGGTTAAATCATTCTTACCCCGAATGGCCTTCTCAGCAGGTGCTAAAGCTGCTAATGTGGCCGTGTGGATGAGTGGGTGACTGAACTCTTCCTGAATGACCTAAAGCAGAACAGGTGTGTCAATACCCTGGGAACCACGTCTCTGTCAAAATCCCAGCAGTCACCCAGAACTCACCTCAGGAGTCAAGTATTTGCCAATAAGTTTCTCTAAAAAGGGCCTTTTCAAAATGGAATTAACAGATGGTCGATCTCGAGGAGATACTTTAAAGAGCTGAGATACCAAGGACCGAAGATCATGAGAAAATCTTGGTGATATTGGGGTGAAATGCGCTTGGCAAATCTTCAGAACAAGTTGGTGTAAGTTATTGCCCTCAAACTGAAAAGACAAAGAGTAATTATACTAAATCAGGAAAGTTAAATACTAGTATTAAAGTAACATATACACCAAAAGCAAAAGAATGCTTTAAAGCTGCAGTGGACTCTGGTCCACGTTAACTTATTTTTATCCACTAATATTTTATGAGTAGATTTTTTAAGGATTTATTTATTTATTTGAAAGGCAGAGTTATGAGAGAGAGAAGGAGAGGGGGAGGGAGGGAGGGAGGAAAAGAGAAAGAGAGAGAAAGAGAGAGAGAGAGAGAGAGAGAGAGAGAGAATTTACCACACCCAACTAGGGTGTCATCTTAGACACTCCCCTTACCTTGGAGCACTGAACAAAGTTCCCTGACCACACCCAGGATACACCTCTTGAGTATTCACTGAAAGAGCAGACACTCCACTAAGCCACAGAGGAACAGTCCAAAGATAAAAGCCATCACAGAGAACCAAAAGAAAAAAAAAAAAGAAACAGAAATGCCTAATAATAAATGCAGCAAAAAACAAGAATAAGGAAGACAACATAATGCCCCCCAAAGAACACAACACTTCAATACTAGAATGTGAAGATGAAGAGATTGAAGAAATGCCAGAAACGGAATTTTAAAAACTGATTGTAGAATTACTTAGAAGTAATCAGAAGCAGGGGCTAGAGCTGTGGTGTAGTGATAAAGCTGCTGCCTGTAGAGCCAGCATCCCATATGGGCGCTGGTTCGAGTCCTAGCTGCTCCACTTCCAATCCGGCTCTCTGCTACGGCCTGGGAAAGCAGTAGAAGATGGCCCAAGTCCTTGGGACCCTGCACTGTATGGAAAGGCCCAGAAGAAGCTCCTGGTTCCTGGCTTTGCATCAGCACATCTCTGGCTGTTGCAGCCAATTAGAGAGTGAACCAACAGATGGAAGACCCCCCCCCCCCCCGCCTCTCCTCTTTCTGTGTAACTCTGACTTTCAAATAAATAAATAAGTCTTTTTTAAAAAAGTAAGCAGAAGCAAATTCACAAACTAAAGAAATCCATACATGACATGAATGAAAATTTGTCCCACAAAATTGAGATTTTAAAGGGAAATCAAAATGAAATATTAGAAATGAAGAATTTAATAGAACAAATTAAAATACAGTGAAAATACAGACTCAGTAAAACAGAAAAAGAAGACAAATCTCTGGAAATTTTACAATCAGACTCAAAAAAAAAAAGGAAGAAGAAATAGGAAAACTAAAAAAGAGTGTCAGAGATTCATAGGATACTACCAAATGACCCAACATGAGTTTTTGGAGTTCCTGAAGGCATGTTAAGAGAGAATGGATTAGAAGGAATTTTAGTGAAATAATTACAGAAAACTTGCCTAATTTGGAGTAAGAAAGGGACATCCAAGTACAGGAAGTACATAGAACTCCTAATACATATAACCAGAAAATATTTTCACCATGACACATTGTAGTCAAACTCTCCACAGTAAAACATAAAGAAAAGATTCTAAAATGCACACAAGAGAAATGCCACGTTACTTTCATAGAATCTCCAATTAGACTCACAGTTGACTTCTCATCAGATACTCTACAGGCTAGAAGGGAATGGCAAGTTATAGTCCAAGTCTTAAGAGAAAAAAAAGTCAACCCAGAATACTGTTTCCTACAAAGCCCTCATTTATGAATGAAGGCAATATAAAGACCTTCCATAACAAACAAATTGAAAGAATTTGTCCCTAGTTGTCCAGCCTTACAAAATATGCTTAAGGATGTGCTACACACAGAAACACAGAAACATGGTCATCACTATGAAAGAAAGTGAAGGCAGAAAATCTACAAGTAAAATTCCATAGGAAATCCGAAGTAAAAAATGGAAAAATGGCAGGGCCAAGTCATTACTTATCATTAGTCACCTTAAATGTAAATGGCCTCAAGTCTCCAGTTAAATGATACAGACTGGCTGAATGGATTAAAAAACAAAACCCATCTATTTTACTGCCTATAAGAAACACATCTCACCAAAAAAGATATATGCAGACTGAAAGTGAAAGGATGGAAAAAGGTATTCCATGCTAACAGAAACAGAAAAAAGAGCTAGTGTACCCATCATATACCAGACAAAATAGACTTTCACATGAAAACTGTAAAAACAAAGATGGGCACTATGTAATGACTAAGGGATCAATTAAACAGAAAGATGTGACTATTACAAATGTATATACACCTAATTACAGGGCACCTGGTTATTTAAAAGAAATGTTAATGGATCTAAAGGGAGACATAGACTCCAATACAATAGTAATGGATGACTTTAATATCCTATTTTCAGCAATGGACAGATCAACCAGAAAGAAAATCAAAATGGAAACAGCAGAGTTAATCAACACTATAGACTAAATGGACCTAATAGATACCTACAGAACTTCTCATCCTACATATGCAGAATACACATTCTTCTAACCAGTGCATGGAACTTTCTCTATGAAAGATCACATGATAGGCCATAAGCAAGTCTCAGCAAATTAAAAAAAAATCCAAATCATACTATCCATATTCTCTGACCACAATGGGATGAAGTTGGAAATTAACAACTCAAGAACCTCTAAAACATATATAAACACATGGAGATTGAACAACATGCTTCCAAATGAACAATGGGTCACTGGAGAAATCAAAAAGTTCCTGGAATCAAATGAAGACAACAATACAACCATCTAAAACTTATGGTATACAGCAAAAGCAGTGTTAAGAAAAAAGTTTATAGCAATTGGTGCCTACATCAAGAAACTGGAAAGGCACCAAATAAATGAGCTATCAACGCATCTCAAGGACCTAGAAAAACAGCAGCAAAAAAAGAAGGAGAAGACCCAAATCAATAAAATTTGAGATGAAAAAGGAAATGTAACGACAGACACCACAGAAATAAAAAGAATCATCAGTAATTACTACAAAAAGCTGTGCGCCAACAAATTGGGAAAACTAGAAGTCATGGATAGATTCTTGAACACATGCACACTACCTAAATTGAGCCATGAAAACATGGAAAACCTAAAAAACTAATAACCAAGATTGAAATTGAATCAGTAATAAAAACCTTCCCAGCAAAGAAAAGTCCAAGACCGGATAGCTTCACTGATGAATTCTTTTGTTTGTTTGTTTGTTTGACAGATAGAGTTAGACAGTGAGAGAGAGAAAGGTCTTCCCTCCATTGGTTCATCCCCAAATGGCCACCATGGCCAGAGCTACGCCGATCTGAAGCCGAGAGCCAGGTACTTCTTCCTGCTCTCCCATGCGGGTGCAGGTGCCCAAGCACTTGGGCCATCCTCCACTGCCTTCCTGGGCCACAGCAGAGAGCTGGACTGGAAGAGGAGCAACTGGGACTAGAACCCAGCGCCCATATAGGATGCTGGTGCCACAGGCGGAGGATTAACCAAGTGATCCATGGCGCCAGCCCCCTCACTGCTGAATTCTACCAGACATTTAAAGAGCTAACTCCAATTCTTCTCAAGCTAGTCAAAACAACTGGAAGGGAGGGAATCCTCTCAAACTCCTATAAAGCCAGCACACCTTAATTCCTAAACCAGAAAAAGATCCAACAGAGAAAGAGAACTACAGACCAATTTCCCTGATGATCATAGACTTAAAAATCCTCAACAAAATACTAGCCAATTGAATCCAACAACACATCAGAAAGATCATTCACGTGGACCAAGTAGGAATTACTCCTGATACGCAAGGATGGTTCAACATTCACAAATCAATGTGATATATCACATTAACAAACTGAAGTACAAAAACCATAGATGCAGAGAAAGCATTTGATAAAATACAGCACCTTTTCATGATTAAAACTTTAAGCAAATTGGGTATAGAAGGAACATTTTTCAACATAATCAAGGCAATTTATGACAAACCCATGGCCAGCATTCTATTGAATGGGGAAAAGTTGGAAGTGTTCCCATTGAGATACAGAACCAGACAAGGATGCCCACTCTCAACAATGCTATCCAATATAGTCCTGGAAGTTTTAGCCAGAGCCATTAGGCAAGAAAAAGAAACCAAAGGGATACAAATTGGGAAGGAGGAAGTCAAACTATCCCTATTTGCAGTTGACATGATCCTACACATAGAAGATCCAAGAGACTCCACTAAGAGACTATTGGAACTCCCAGAAGGGTTTGGTAAAGTGGCAGGATATAAAATCAACACACAAAAATCAATAGCATTTGTATACACAGACAATGCCATAGCTGAGAAAGAACTTCTAAGATCAATCCCATTCACAATAGCTATTAAAAAATCAAATACCTTGGAATAAATTTTTTTTATCTTTTATTTAATGAATATAAATTTCCAAAGTACGACTCATGGGTTACAATGGCTTCCCCCCCCATACCGTCCCTCCCACCCACAACCCTCCCCTTTCCCACTCCCTCTCCCCTTCCATTCACAACCTTGGAATAAATTTAACCAAGGATATCAAAGATCTCTACAATGAGAATTACAAAATATTAAAGAAAGAAATAGAATAAGACATAAAAAATAAGAAAATTTTCCATGTTCATGGATTAGAAGAAGCAATATCATAAAAATGTCCATATTACCAAAAGCAATTTATAGATACAATGCAATACCAACCAAAATAATAACATTCTTCTCAGATACAGAAAAAAGATGCTGAAATTCCTATAGAAACACAGGAGGCTGGCACTGCGGCTCAATAGGCTAATCCTCCGCTTGCGGTGCTGGCATACCGGGTTCTAGTCCCGGTCGGGGCGCCGGATTCTGTCCCGGTTGCCCCTCTTCCAGGCCAGCTCTCTGTTATGGCCTGGGAGTGCAGTGGAGGATGGCCCAAGTGCTTGGGCCCTGCACCCACATGGGAGACCAGGAGAAGCACCTGGCTCCTGGCTTCGGACCAGTGCAGTGCACCAGCTGCAGCGGCCATTGGGGGGGGTGAACCAACAGTAAAGGAAGACCTTTCTCTCTGTCTCTCTCACTGTCCACTCTGCCTGTCAAAAAAAAAAAAAAAAGGCAA